ACACGAGCAAAGAGCACCCACCCCCCCTTTCAGGTTCCTGTTGCAGTGCTCTTTGAGTCTTCTTTACCGGGGGCTGCTCCGAATACCGATTTATGCGAGAAGAAAGGGGACTAGTTTTGCAGAGTTGTCTTTTGGTCAAACCCTTAGATGGCTGGTATGTGCAACCCTTCCGAAGTCACGCAAAACACAGATCTCCAACACTTGCTGGGGCTCAGCAGGAATGATGGAATGACCCTTGTAAACCATCTCAAGGGGACCCCTGGGTTCATTCCCACCTTCCCTATCGCACCAGTTAGAACATTACAAAGTTTATCTCAAATTACAAACCCTGCAAATCGAGTCTACTTTCTCAGTGGGCGTAGTCTCAAACCCCGCACACTGCGGCGCAACCTGAAGCCAGCCACAGTTTTGCCACTCCTAAATCAGCAGATGGTAAAGCTTGTTTTCAGCTTCCCTTGAGGTTAAGGAAGAGTTCCCATGTGCCTTCTACCAGAACCGGCGGTTCAAGTCCAAATCCAAAGCAATCCAATCCACCAACTTAAGGGTAACCTGATTCGCCAACCAATGGCTGCCTAATTTTCCTGGAAAACCCCTCTCCTCTAACAAAAACACCAAGCTGAGGCCTGTGAAACGTGCATTCAAAATAGCGCATTGGTTTTCGGGTGCGGAGCCCGGAGCAGGACAATGAATCGCAAAGCCATGACTGCGGCTCCCTGCATATTCCAAGTTGGTAACAAAGGAAACCCACCTGATTTCGAATATTTCGATTTGCTCTGGGTATAAACAAGCCAGAAAGCATGTTATACTGCCACACCCGAGAATGTCTTTGGGTGTGTGAGGAGCTGAACAAACCATGGCTGCACAAATTATTGAGGCCATCAGCGGCTCGCTGTGCCACTTCGCCGGTTTTCTTGTATGCCTTTCATCCTTACTGTGGATGGACAATATCCGTTCGCACCACTTGGAAACCCTGAGAAGCCATTATTTGTTGGTATTTACAGGGGAATCATCCTTCCAGAGTCTCTGAGGTGGTGCAGGACTTCGTCCATCCACAGTAGCACCGCGATTGCAAAACCCTTTGGAGGTCCCCAACTGAGTCCCTCACATGTGACAATTGGGGCAGGGGTCGTCAAAACCATTAGACAAAGGAATCATCCATCTAAAATATGCTGGGGCCAGACTGAGACCCGCTGCAATGTTTCCCCAAAACAAGACTCTAAAGCAGGCTTTACCAACCTACTGCTTTTTTGGGCACGCTTTAAAAAAGTGGGTTTCCATTGCAAGCTCCTCCTGTGTTAGTCAGGGAGTTGACGTCATGCCAAAACAAAGCGATGTTCGAAGCACGCGTATTTGTTCTTTCAGCCAAGCGATCAGCCGGATTCGGGCTGCAACTTGTCAATCCGTGGATTCTCATAGCGTTCGCTATGGATCCGTCACCCGCCCAGAAACAACACGCACGCGTGGAGAGCTCCACTGACTAGGTATGTCCGACAAATCAAGATGCCTCCTTTGCTCCCCATGTGTGGAAACATCTTGAAGGGTTCTGGGTCGGGTAGGGTTCTGCGGTTCCGTGCGAAACGTGCCACTGGAGTCCGTTTGAGATGGATCCGAAAAGCAGCAAATGCCATAACTCTTCAGCTTTACTGACAGATCTGATCCCCGTGGTTCGCTTTTTTTTACCCTCCCACCCTTTTCACAACCTGACGGTTCGGGGTCCTGGTCCTTTTAAAGGGACCGGGTCCCGAAGGTCAGGCTCCATGCGAAAAGGGTGGGAGGGTATGTAAATCTAACCCAAAGTTCAGAAAGGAGCCAATTGATGGGTGAGTGTCGCATAAAACATGCCGATGTTGTCAACCGCCCAAGATCCCAACCTTCTGCACAAGTGAACCCCCCCCCCCCGCTCTAATTGGCAACCAAGAAAGCAACGGCCTAAAACGGCCGAGAATGACCCCTGGTCGTTGATAAAGAAGAACATCTTTGAGTAATCTCGTACCAACAAAAGAAGGTAAATCACGGCTTTGATGCCAAGAACAGTAGAAAGACTGGAGAGTATCCATGACAACCCATGTGCCAGTGCCCAAACAAAGTGAAACTGGCTGCGGGTTTCATGCCAGGGTTGCTAGCCGAGACAGGCGTCCAAGTTTGCTTGGAACAACATTCCCCGCGCACATTGGCAAACAATATCCCTGCTCGTATTTGTGGGAAACGTTGAGATTCGTTTCAACTTTGACCGAGCCTGCGACAAAAGGGTGCTGCCCAACACTCGATCAAGATCTCTTCTAAAATCGAATTGCACCCCCGCACTGTGGATGGACCAAATCCTGCACCTAAGAAACCCTGGAATGATGATTTCCCTGTAAATACCAAAAGGCGTAATGGTTTCCCACAATGGTTTCTCTTAGGTGGTGCGAAATGATAAATTCGCAACCGCCCACAGTATGAATCAACCTGTTCTGCTTGGTCCGTCCCAGTAGAGAGCACCAACCCTGAAGACTAGAACTGCTCACTGGCTGACTGGCTCAAGCTGTCGGGGGACGAAAACCATTTCGCACCAGTTGGTAGGAGGTTTATCCAGAATTATGTATAGGGTTTCATCTATCCCAAGTGGTGCAGAATTTCGTCCACCCACAGAATGATCTTCCAACAACTAGCTTCTGCTAATATATATATATATATATATATATGTATCGCTTGTCCAAAGTGGCCTTAGGCCTGTTTGGACCCTTTGCGACCCAATTGAAAGGAACATGTTAAAAAATGGCGGGCTTCGGTGTGTGTCAGCTGACCTGTTCAGTTTGGACTAGACTTTCACCGTATATCTTCCTGGGTCGTTCCTTCCCGAAACAAAACTTATAAATTTCTAAGCTGCAGGGTGAATGAAAACGTCTTGCAAAAGGTCTCCGGGCCAATTCGGTCAAAGACCAAATCGCCAGACTTTCTCCAGTGGCGAATCATTCACCGCGCGAGGCGAGGAACCACCCCCTCGCCCTTCAACGAAATTCGCCTCTTTTGAGGCTCGAGCCAATGGAGCGCGTCCGACGCGCGTAAAACCGTTCGGCACCGTGGCATAGGTCCCGGCTAAGGTGTCCGAGAGGGCGAATCGCAAGCAGACATATAGGTGTATTTATATATATATATATATACTGTATATATAATATATATATATATATATAGCTCGGGATCAATCCAAAAAAGTTTTGTCAAACCGAGCACAAATCCAAGAGTGCATGCAAGCCTTCATCTGAGGTCGATCAACCTGCGCAGACCAAAAACCAACACGAGCAGCACCCATCTAGCTCTATCAAGATGGTTGTAAAGATGTGCATAACCCTTACTAAAGCTTCTCATCCGGAACACCAAAGCCCATGAGAAGCATGTCCTATTGTTTTCCGAATAGGCCGTGTCTTTTTAGGGAAAGCCCCGTTTGATTGGTTTCAAAGGGAAATAAACAAAAAAAACATGTTGCGTCCCCCCTATTTTAAAACAAACCCATTCTTAGAGGGCAAAGATACATAGCTACCTTTTGTTTGGCAGGGAAACCCCTCAAAACATTTGGGATTTAACTCCACTACCTCTTTTTCCCAGGGACCCCCCTCAAAAAAAACACGATTTCACTCCCCCAGCGAGTGGATTGAACTTCACGCCTGGCCTCAGTTCAGTGACCCTGGAAAACCAAGCCAACCCTTTTTGGGAAAGAATTGGTGCCACTGAGCAACTGAGTGGCTGGTCCCAAACGTTGCCCCGGCGGAAGCTTAGCCGCGCCGAAGCGAGGCGAAGCGCGCCGAAGCGCTGCGCCTTCATCGGGCGAGCGGGTTTGTGGCAGGTGCGGTGTTTGGGTTTCGTTGGACAGTGTGGCCCTTGAGATTTTTGGAGCCCCGAAATTGATTTGGTACATCCTTTTTTTCTCAATGGGTGTGTCTCTTTTAGGGGGCCCTGAACATGGTGGCGTTCCTGTTGGTGTTCCTTCAAAACGAAACGGAGCCTCAAAAACGGACCATCCAAAAACCTGCTCAGGCATTTGTTTCGCTGGTAGCGCTCTTTCACTGGCCCTGTTTCCTTGGATGTCATTTTGTTTCCCAGGTAGAGAAGGGTCTTGTATCAAATAGGGGCACTGGAAAAGACCAAAGAAAGCATCTGTTGGTTTCCTTCTGGGGGGGCTTTTCAAGACGACGTGGACGCATTGTTTCAGTTGGTTTCCCTGCCATCCCCTGATTTAAGGTCCCACTCTAGTGAGCGAGGCCAGGGGAACCATCATGTAAAACCATCTGGCGGACGGTGTACTCAGGTGTGGGCCCTTTCTGTGAGGAAATGATCAATATATGTTGGTTCCTCTAGTGGGGTCCGGCTTAATCCGCTGTTGACAGAGGCAACTGCAAGCATATCTCAAAACTCAATCTAAGAAACCTCTGGTTCATCACCTACTATGTGCATTGTTTCCTGGTGGTCGGAAGACCAACCCGGCATCAGACGCCATCTATCTCTTTGGTTTCGCCCGAGCCGAGTGGAAACAAACAGGCGGCCCCGGTGGAATGTGGGGTCCACCTGCAACTTGCGGGTGGCTTCCAAGGCGCTATGTCCACCAACCAGTCTTCGGGTGGGGGGGGGGGGGTTAAATCAAACCCAAATGAAAATTGTCTGGTCTGGGCCCCGAATTTTGAGAACCTGGCCCCGAAATCAGAGGGTCGACCATGCACACGCGCATGGTCATCTGCTTTTTTTGGAGTGGTGCCACAGAGAACCACTCATTTGCGGGAACCCCAATTTGGAGACGACCCCCATGCAATGATACGCTCAGAACAACTGGAAGGTTAATTTAGTGGCAACTTCCCCCTTCTTTCCAGGGCTCCCTCTTTCCAGACACCCGCCCAAGGGAAACGCCTGAAATTTGGAACAGGAGATGACCTCTCACATTTTAAGAACTCAGAGAGTTCCTCGTTTCCCCCGGCCCAAAAAAATCCGAGAAGGCAAAGGTCCCCCATTCCGAAGGCTCGCGCCTGGACTCAAACCTGAGGTAGCGATGGAGGAGCTACCGTGCTGCTTCGGCCTAAGAACGGGAACTGCAGCAGGGAGCGATGTGAACAGGGTTCTATGCATATATATATATATATATACAAATGTGGTCACACCACACCATGACCCAGTATGTTGATACATACTCATATATATATATACATATATATATATATATATATACACCCTTAAAAAGTCACCCCTTCCAAGGGTTAGGCCGAAGAGGCGATATTTAAAACCTGCAAAGGGGAAATACAGAGACGGACGAAAGACAGACATGTAACAGCTGAGCCTCTTTTTGGGATGGCCTTAAAGCTGAAGCCGACATGAAACCAACCCTAAGGTGCCAAAGACATACGCAAGTCATCACGTCAAGGCCTTTTTTCCGTATTACATCTGGGTGGGACACGGGGACGCGAAGACCGGAGTCTGGGACCGGACCGCCCGGACCGGGCCGGACATTCCCTGTTTGAGGCTACCCTTTTTGGCCTTAAAATGGAAACCAAAAGAAACCGTTCCCATTTTAAGGGGGCTCCAAATCCAAAAGGGAGACACATTTTGTCTGGCAAGGCGATGGCTCCCTGATAACGTGCTGCAAAGGGAAAACTTGCTGGTGCTCAGTAGGGAATGACCTTCTTCCGGGGTTTGAGAATGACTCTATAGGGATTCCCTGGAAACCAAATCGGGGATGGTTTATAGGGGTCATTCCCTCATTCCTTGCTGAGAAGCCTGTAGTCCTGGTCTGCGGCCAAGAGGCGGCCTTCATTCATCAAGATCCCGGTGACGCCGCCGTTGTCCTGGGTTGCGATTCAGGACGGCGAGAAGGCCTGTCGGTTGAAAAACGGCACAAACCCCAAATGGGTCTCTTTGTTAGGGGACCCCCCGCCCCCAAACTTGTGGGTTTCTTTTTGGTGTCCCTTTGAAACCACTAAACAAGGGGTGGCCTCCAAAAAGGAAAGACCCACGTGAAGAACTTCGATGGCTGGTCTCAAAGGGAAAACGTTTGGGACTTTTGAAACACAACCAAAACTGGGTTCCCCTCCAACAAACAACCCTATCTACTCTTGGCCTTTCTGAAAACAAGCTAGCACCGATTCGGTGGCGTTCTGTCCTCGTGTTCTCGGTCGAATGTCCGAAGAAAGCCCCAAAGACCCCCAATTCGAAGCACGGATGGGCTAGAGTCCTTGAAAGTAAAAGTATTGTCTTCTTTTTGAAGGGAACCCAAAGCATCAGTGGCTTCCCGTTTCGTACAAGCAACCCCTTTTTTGGGTACTGAGCCTCAAAACAAAAGAAATCACCTGGAGCATGAAACCCACGTCCTATGGAAATTGAAAAGTCCTATGGACACCCAGTGAATCAAGTCTTTGACTTCTCCTTATCGGTCCCTTGGAGAAGTGCTCTGAATGATTCTTGGCCCACGCTCCCATTGGACGGGTTTATGAATCCGGGGTCAGCATCCCTCAAACAAACAAAGGAACCATGGCACAAAATTCGGACCTTCGGCACAGGAGATGTCCATTCGCCGTGTCAAAAGGTGACTCGATGCCGGCGCGAAGACTCCCATCAGTCGCAAGGGGCTCAGCATGGACGGTCGCGGGAAAAGAACCCAGCGGTTCCGGAACAGCAAGCTTGAGCTACACTCCGTGCACAAGGTGGCTCTTGTTGACCACCCCTTTCCGACCCACCAAACAAACGGAGTGACTTATCCCCTGCAGATTCACATGCTCCAAATAAAACCTGCGCAAAATGGCAGGGGCCAAATTTCTGGGAAGTTGGGCAACCCAGGCTAAGTTGCAGGGGACCTCCAGAATGTTCAGAATGTTGAGAGTTCGTTTGGGTGACCCTGAATAGGTGTTCACAGTATGGAATCCATGGAAGAACCAGGTGGGCGCGGGAATCCCCTTTTTAGAGAGCCGCCTTTTCTGATTGGCTTTAAGGGAAATCCAAAGAAAAACCGATGCCATTTTTTTGAGGGGGGTCCGGTTCTTAAGCAAAAACACAGTGTCCACTGACGAAATTTTAGCCACACCGTTGGAACATACGCTCTCACATCCTTGCGGGCGTGCGCACGGCGCGAGCGCAGTGCGGCACGCATGGTCCATCGGATCCACTAGGTGAACCTGAAGGGACGAGTCAGGTCGTTGGCGACCCGAATCGGCCTGGCGGATGTGAACGCTCTGATAGCGTTCCCAGCCTTCCGCACAGTCTGCGCTGTGACCGCAAGAGTCAGCCCACTTTGTGGGGGCGAGAGGTTCAAACCTCTGACCTCGCCAATGCTCAGCTCCAAAACCAAACAAACAGACCTGAGGAACCGACGAATGAGGCAAATGTCCGAAGCAACCGTCGGCTGAGAAATGGCATACGAGGAGTGCGTTGCAGCGTCATTCCAAACTTCACCTTGCTTAGAAGCAATCCGAACAGGAAAAGGGAGCCCATCCGTCCCAAGAACCGCAACCAGTTCAAGCCAGGAGAATTGAATGACAAAGTCCGAATGCTGATGTTGCTGAATCAGCCACTGGATGACCTGAGTGGTGAAAACAGGTCCAAAATTGACAGCTTGTTGCTGTCCAGAAACGGCATGCAGAAAATCCGGGGGGATCCATTCAACCCAGGAGTCAGCAGTACTGAGCCTGTCAACCCAGAAGCCGGGCTCAGTAGGTGACGACTCATCGTCTTCTTCATTAGGTTCGCCATGATCGTGCGGTAGTCGGTAACGTTCAGCAACTGCAAGGTGTAGGCGCAGTAGTGCGTCGAGTCGGGCAATCATGTCCTTCTCAGCGGCGCAGTAGTTGCTCCAGAGTCTAATGAAGCTTGGTTCGCGGTGCTGATTCGCAAACTTGGCAACCGTGTCTGCGGTCTCATTCCATTGTGCGGTCCTTGCATCAGCAGGATCGTCACATTCAGCAGGGCCGCGGTGTCCTGCAATGTGGTGTATGCAGAGCTGACCAGGTTGCGGTTGATTACAGGCGTCCCTGAGGCACTGCCATAAATCGCAGTTGCTATTGGGGAGGTCAGACTTGTCATCGAAGCCGCCAGGCTCCCTGGGCCGTGTACGCCGAATCGGCCCACACATGTCCACTGAGCTCGCCCGATTGCTTGACTGAAAAAGGCCTCTGAGTGGGCCTGCTGCAATGATCCTGCGGTGGGTGGACGAGACGGAGGACCAGGATGCCAGTTTGGTTACTGAACCCGTCGAACGAGTGCGCGAACCGTCAGTGAAGATGTGCAGAGTACAAGCGCCGGCTGTTGCTGCATGACTGCTTTCATTGGACCACTCTTGAACTCCGTCCAAATTCCAGGCCACTGGTCGGGAAAGACCTGGATTTTGATGGTGGCGTGATCGGTGGAGACAATGTTCGGCAGGTTCTTGTGCATCTCCTGGTTGACCCGAACCTGTCCACGCTGGATAAGGCTCCCTTGGACAAGTACAGGCTCATTGGTGCCAGCGTGAGCGTGGATTGCAGGATAGACCAGGTTCTCAACTGGCAACACGCCAACTTGCTCGTGTGGGACGCAAGAGGTTGTGAGGACAGCGAGCGGGCCGTCGTAGACAGGCTGTCCGTCCGCAAGGTACGGCATCACCTCTGCCACAGGGGATGCCATCAAATAAGATGGCATGAAATCCTCCAGGTTGTGGGTAGCAAACGAGTGTGACCCAATGACCCTGGTATGCAAGGATGGCAAAGAGCAGACCGGAGCATTCTGGTACATCCCGGAGGAGCGCATGGTCTCGTGGCCAGTCAGGTTGTTGGGCAAGGTAGGAGCTGAGGAGAGGGGGAATAAAGGAGATGTGCTCTCCTCTGAGATGTCCGATGATGCGGAGTTCACCCTTGATGTGGATGTCGCCAAGACCGGGTCCGGCATGTCCTTGGGCTGTGTAGTGTGGCTCCGAGAGTAGCGTCAGGCGGGACTCGGATGTGTCCGTCCCAAAGGGAGATGGAGCTTGTACCCTGTAGCTGAGTATCTGCATCAACAAGGAGATCTTGCACCCGTTAATGTCCTTCGCGAAGGAGGTGGTAGTCGTCAAGGAGATGCCTGGCGGCGTGCGATTCCTCAGTGACCCACCGATGGTGCTGTTCGAGGAGCAGAGACTCCTTGTACTGAGCAATGTGCTTCAGTGGCTCGCACATGGGGCAGGAGAAGGCGAGCTGTGCTGCCCGTGCAAGAAGATGCGACCCATAGTGCCTGTAGTGGTGCTGCAACTTGCGCAAGTAGACAGAGTCCGTCTCGAGGCCGGCCAGGGTATTGGATGCTTTGCGGGACAGTGAGGAGGAATGCAGCCTCCTTCACGTGAAGAAATCTTGGAGCGGTAGAATCCACGCAGACCTTGCTGGACCAACCTCTCAGTGCAGAAAGGCCTCTGCCTGAATCTACAGGGGCACTTGGCTAGTGCATTGCCACATGAGTGCAGGATGCACGGACATGGTCCTGAGACTTGTAGTAGGCGAGGTTTTTTTGCATAGACGGGATTGGTATACAAGTCAATTTCATGCTCAGTGAGCAGGAGCTCCGTCTCTTCTTCCCTGGTCCAGAGTGGCCACCGGGGGATGTAGTGCTCGATTGTGAGTGGGGTTGTTTTTTAAGTGGCCAGGGTTGGAAGCCTTCAAGATTGAAGGACGATGGTGCAAGGATCGCCCACCAGCGGTCACGTCGGGCTGGCCATTGATGATGCAGAGCCAGCGTGATGGTTTTGACCTGGTAGTTCATGATGCCCGCGAGGTAGTTGAGGTTCTGCATGATGAAGCCGTAGTGCTGGACCAACACACTCAAGGATGATGGCCGGCGCCTGCAACCATGCTGTTTTCAGAGTGGCTCCAAACACCGTAGAGCGGGGATCTTGTTCTCCCAGTCGGTCTCCTTGGCGTGAGTACGGCTGGCACGGAAAGCCTGCAGCAAGAACTGCTGGCAGTGGTCCCCCTGCAGCATGCAGCTTCGCTATGTTGGACATCTCACAGATGCTCCCGTGAATCACGTTGGTGGCGCCATTCGCTCGAAGCTGAGCACAAGCGAGGCCGTTGTGGTCCAGGTGAGCTACAGCATGTAGTCCGGCGTGATGTGCACCTATTGCAATGCCGCCGAGCCCTGAGCAGACCTCTTTCAGCCTTTGGTAGTTCAGGATGTCGTTGGGACCGTGATGGAACCAGCGGGTGTCCTCCGTGAGGCAGGCCGAGAGGATTCCCTCGTTCGAGTGGATCATGATGTCATACGCTGTGATGAGGCCAGTTCCCTCACCCAAGGGCATCACCTTGATGTACCGGAAGGTCGCCGCGAACTGGCCCACCACCTCTGTGTCCGCCGGCGCCAGAACCCCTGACCAGGGGCAGAAAGCCACCGGCTTCACCATCCAGGGCACATCCATGGCTCAATCTCCAAGTGTTCTGCCGACCCAGTCCCACCTGCTGGGAGGCCCTTGGACCGAGACTACCGTTGGAACATACGAAATACTTGAGCCATGGGTCACCCAAGTCAATCAAGGCACCCGTGAAAAACGGGCTCTGACCTTAAGGGGTGTCAATCACCTGCGCAGGACAATCAGGTGGACGAGATCCTACACCACCTAAGAACCCCCCTGCAGCTGGAATAATTCGATCCTCCATAAATACCGACAAACGTTGTGGTTTCAACCATGGTTTCATTTCGAGGTTCGAGACTCGCGGATGACTCGCAACCATCCACAGAAGGTTATAGGGGATCTTTTGGCAAAATAGACCCGTCTAAACCGGTGGAGCCCATCTATTTCTAACCCAACTAAGCAACTCAAACGACATCTATGGTTGTAGGTTTCTGGGAGTTTAACAGCTTGGTGGATGTGCAAACAGTTTTCCCACCAAAATGGTAGGTTAGAATAAGGGTGTACGTATAAAGAAAATCTGTTAAGCCAAGATTACCCATTGTTGGATAAGATAAAAAGGAAGACGCTTTGCTAAGGCTATCCATGTTTGCTTCTACAGCATCTAAAAACCATAGGGTTTTACCTCCGCGCATAATGTACTGATCAAGCAATAATTTGTCAACATCACTGAACTCCTTGGTTGGCTTTGCAATGATTAATGCATCAATAGTGCTTAACCTTAAAATTTGGTTTTGAAGCGAGACTTCTCTGGTAATTGAATCCGCAATAAATTCTTTCAAGTTGAACTTGTCTACGCGGTAATATTGAGATAAATCTTTAGCTAAAAAAGCAACATACTTATCATTCAATTCACCATGGCCTTTTAAGAATGCTATGGTTACCCACTTGTTTCTGTAGTCTATTTTAGTAGGGGAACCAAATCTCCCAACCAAAAAAGAAACGGTCAAAGAAAGGGCACCAATTGCTGGGGGACCTAGTGAAGTCCAGGCGCGCCCTTGGTCAAGTTGTTGAAGCTCTTGGCCCTCACGATCAGGTCCAAGAGCTTCCCCTACGCGAAAAAGCGAGCGCGCGAGAGCGCGGATCCGTCGGACATCTCCTCAAAAGGCCTTGGGGTGTGCCCTTTTTTTTGGAGGCTAGCTGTTCTTTCTTTTTGGGGGGGTTGCTTTAAAGGTAAACCAAAGGGAAAACTTATTCTTCGTTCTTCGTTCTTCGTTCTTTTTCTTCTTCTTCTTCTTCTTCTTCTTCTTGTTTTTGGGGGGTCCTCACAAAATACAAGTCCACATTGGCGTGTATGAGGGCCTTGGATGGTTTAACCGCAAACCCAAAGCAAATTGCCCTTTTTTGGGGGGCTCCCCTCATTTTGAGACCTTGACGTACATTCTCCATCTGGCCAAATTGCTAGAATGCTTTAACTGGAAACACAGAAACCCCCATCGAAGGACCTGGGTGGAATACGTAGAATGCTCGAACACCCAGGGTTGATGACCATCCCTATCAACACCAAAAACATGCTGTGACCATGAACACACATGTGGGTTCCAGTTCTTAGGGTGGGTCTCAAGGGCAACAAAAGGCAGTACCCATTGGGGGGGGTGCCCCACTTGCCATGGAGCTCAGGTCACCATTTGGCGCCTCGACTTCTTCTGGCGGTTTCGGGTCACTCGGGTCACTCGACTTCTTCGTCGGTCCTCTTCCACCGGCAGGTCCCCACATCCGGGGTACTCCATCTCCTCGATGTGCGCCACCAGCAGGAAACCAAAGACCTGGCGTCATGCAAGTTTTGTTCACGAGCCAATTGGCTGTGGGTCAAATAGGGTCACCCCAAACTGGCTTGCCCTGGCAAATGGACCAAGGACTAAAACCTGACCCATACCCAATACATATGGAAGGCCTAGTGTTATTTATTGCTTGGAATTGGAATCGGGGAGAAAAAACGGGGGCCGCCCAGTTAGCTTTGGTATTTCGATCTTAAAATGGCGGAGACAAACAGAGTGGTTGATGTCTGATCTTGAAATGGGGAGATATTTCAGGGGCCACCCAGTGTTTAGTGCCCCCATCCCCTGAAAAAGGGCGCTAAAGCCTGGAAAAACTGGCTCAAGGCGTCCAACCTTTTGGGAACACCCGAAAGCAACACAGAGAAAAAGAACACTGGTATTCTCTGGCACTATCAAAAATGAGGGGAGGGTGAATTCATATAACCACCACGTTTTTCAGCAGGAGTTTTATCATCAAATTGTGCCAACGACTGTTCAAATTTGAATTGGGGGTTGAAGCATGGAGAGAATACTGCCCACTTGTGGGCAACGATCAGTTGTGAAAACCTTTGGAAGCAAATGAAATCATTCGGGAAAGCCCTCTGCAATTCTTCCTGCGCAGCGACTTTAATCAGCATGTCCAGTTTTGGTCCATTGTAGCCCAAGCTGGTGTGCGCGGGGTGGTGCCGTTTGGGTGGTCCCCCAGATGCCAATGTGGTAGAGCTTCGAACTGGCCTTAACAGTTCCGCTCAATCTTCTGTCCATAGGTGTCCTTTTGGCAAAATAGGTGGCCCTGGTAAATGGAATAAAACCTATCTAAACCAGGGCCATCTATTTCTATTAAAACTGACCTAAAAAGGACACCTATGCTTCTGTCTGCTTCGGGTGCTGAAGAATGAAGTATTTTCAGTCATGGCCGTGCCTGCCGCCCCTTGAGAAAACGAAAAATGGCCCAACGCAAATGGCCATGGGTCAATAACCAATGCCTCCATTTGGGGTGGATGAGCATCCACTTGCCGCCTATTTTGATGCTCACCAGGGGTACAGGGTTTGACCCATGGCCAAATGAAAGCAACCGTGAGCATTACATTTAGCGACTCAGACCCATGCCTGTCGTGCGTGCAAGCGCCTCGAAACAGGCCTACACCAGCCGGCCAATCACCCAACATGACACAAGCCACGTTGAAGCGCGTGCTCATACAAACCGTTTCGAGAAGAGATAGCACTCGAGATTTACCCCTTGAGAGGAGAAGTTGTCTGTTCAAATCGTTGTGTTTGTCAAGCGTGCCCAAAGCATTGTGGTCGTTGTGGTGGTTTCCAAACCAGACTTCATGACAACACACAAATCCTAAACCCTAAGTTTGCTCTAGGCAGGACGGCAGTGCAGATTCATTTTCACCCTGACCACAATCACTCCCCAGAAGGCAGCGCTCAGCTATTCCGGACACCCCTCCACCCTACTGTGGATGGACGAAAACCTGCACCACCTAAGAAACCCTGGCATGATGATTCCCCTGTAAAAATAATACCAACAAACAAATGGTATTTCAGGGTTTCAAAGTGGTGCAGGATTTTGTCCACCCACCCTGCTCAGCGAAAAGGGCTTTTGGGCGCCGCTGGATTTGAACAAAATCACGCGAGGATACGTCGGGCTGAGGCCTGGAAGTATTTGAAGATGTCGCCGCCTCGCTCCTCCGCCACGCAGGGTTTGTGGAGGATTGGCCCCCGTTGCCAGAGAAACAAGATGGGGGCGCTTCCTGCGTTTCGTTTTGGGAAACCAAAAGGCGGTACCAGGGGAGCTAGGAACTGAACCAGAGGAGCGCCATGAAGGACCAGGGGGCTGGCCATGAAGGGCCGTGATCTTTGGGCTCTTAGGTTGCAAAATCAACTTTTGGACGGCTCCAACTCTGGGGATGAGAGTTTTCTTGTAGAACCCCCCCCCCCCCCACCCCAAAAAAAGAAGGTCAGATGAGAGGTTTTCCCTGCGTACCCCCCCCCCCCTTTTTAAACCTCAAACGGATCTCCAGGATCAGATTCGCGAAGATGGCCGCGTCCAGCGTGAAGTAGTGGCACGTCGTCTCCGAGCTCAGCTGCCCCCGGTGGGTCCACCTGCCGAGGCGGATGGGCGAGGAACACCTTCTGAAGGCGTAACTGGCTGAGCTGTCCAAGGTGGATCCTTTAACCCGAGCCGGCCACCAAGGGAACCACCCAGTTAAAAAAAAAACAAGAGGAACATGGCTGGCGAAGGGTTCCCTACATCATGTAACCGAGATCCACCAGCTTAACTGTGCAAACCACTCTTCCGAGGCTCCGATTCCTGAGCCCCACCCTCAACCCCCCCAAACCCCGCCCCCCCCCACCACCCTCGGCCCCTCCCCACCACCCTCAGCCCCCCCCACCAACCCCCCGGCGCTCGCTTTTTTCCGCCGCCGCAACTCTCGGCGCGGCTTGTCCGTCCGCAAGCGCCAGGCGCAGCTGCCGCGACTCCGCGGCGCTAAAGTCGCAGGCGGCCGCCGCCGCCCGCAGCGCCTGCGTGGGGAGGGGGGCCGGTTGTGGGCGCGTGGGGTGCCGGGAAGGGCGGGAAGGGCGGGAAGGGCGCGAAGGGCGTAGGTGGGAGTTTTTTTTTTGGAGGGTGCCCCCCTTTTAAAGGAAAACCAAGAGGAAGACCAGCATTGTTTTTTGTTGCGGGAGGGCCTTAAAAAAAAGGCGTACCCACATGGGCTGAAGACTAGTCATTGTTCCAGAACTGAGGAAAGCAAAGGCCCATCCCCGAAGCACAGTGGCCATATAGTTTGTTTGTTCGCGGGACACCAACAAAAGCCCATGTATCCCAACAGTAGGCAACTCAAAGGGAGACAACAAACAATTGGAGTCTCCATGACCCTTTCAAAACCCGGCATATTCAAAACTAACCTTGACTTCTAGTGGAAAAAAAAGTTCACCCCTTTGTTGTTGGTTGATCTTCAAGTGGCCCTGCAAAAGATGAACGCAAAAGACCCCCCAAGGAACTCTGGGGTTAAGGTGGGCATGACCATAGCCGTCCTGTCCTTTTCGGAAAACAGATGACCCTGGTAGATGACTGAACTACGAGGTAAACCAGGGCCCTCTATGTTTCAGCCAAACCCAAAAAGAAACCTATCGGCATGACCTCTTGACTCCACCACCCTCCAGCCCAGATCCCCCCGAAATACTGTGGATGGACGAGATCCTGCACCACCTCAAGACCCTGGTTTCTGATGATTCCCCCGTAAATCCCAACCAAAGAATGGCCTCCCATGGTTTCCAAGTGGTGCGGTTTATGGCTTTCGTCCCTCAGCCTGCACCACCTAAGACACCAATGAGAGGAAACCATGGCTTGTTGGTATTTACGTTGGGGAATCGCATCAGAAACCAACATCTCTGAGGTGCGACTTCTGGATGTCGCACCCATCCACGGGTTTCTCCGCCTGGTGCAGCTCCTCTGGCGCGCCCCAGCGGCTCCAGGCGATGGCCAGCTGCACCACGCCGTCGCCCTCGAGACGGCCAGCGTAGCCCAGGCTGAGCCGCGCCAAATCCCCCGCGTCCTGCGCCGGGAACCCGCGGAAAACCGGGGGGAGAGTAGATCTAGGGGTAGGTTCCCCGTTCTTTCCAACCATCGTTCTTCTCGAAAGCCGGACCCGTTTCCCTGGGTTTCCGGAGGTTTTCTATAAAGAAGGATCCCTGGAAAGAATGGGGAAGGTAGCACTAGAGTAGATGTGGTTTGTTGCTGGTTGACTGGGGGAATGAAGGAATATCGACATGGCAAACAAAGTTGTGAAAGATGGCAGCCAAAAGCAAACGCCCGGAAAAGCTTGTGCTCAGTTGAAGTCAAAAACAAATGCCGTTCTTAACGGTAGACCCTGTCATCCATGTTGCTACAATGCTCGATATGCTGTCTCTTGGTTTCCCTGTAAACCAGCCAAAAGAAAGGTATCCGAACAAACAAACAAACAAACACACAAACAAACAACCAACCAACCAACCAACCAAAACAAACAAACAAACAAACAAACAAACAAACAAACAAACAAACAAACAAACAAACAAGACACCTTGCCACATATGTATAATATGTACCGTCACTTGTTCATGGCCCTTCTTGCCCACTTGGCCCTGTGATCCCCCGCCTGCGGCCGGAAGCCCAGCACCGCCAGGCCCCAGAGCGCCTTTGCCGCGAAGCTGCCGGGCCAGGGATCCTCGGCCAGCCGCCGCAGGACCTGCGGAGGCTCCACTGGTTCCGTCGGTTTCCGGAGAAAGTGTCACTTCCGCTTAAAAACTGGGCCATAAAGACTTGGACACGGGGGATTGGAAGGGGGAATGGGGATCTTGGCGTGCCCCTTCGCAGGGATTACAGTATACACCTGAACATTGCAACTTGTAAATGGTGGCTTCCCCTATTGGTGTTGAAAAAGCAACATGTTTCAAATGGTTGCAAAATGTATCTTCTAAGGAGCCCTGTTCAGCCTTGCGACCACACTCCCCCCGGAACCCCAAAGACTTTGATATCTCGTAAGGTGCTGGCGGCGGCGGCGGCGGCTTCATACGTCTCGGGAGAAGGAGGTTGGACCCGTTTGGCTCAGCGAAGTGGCGATGGTGTCAAGGGAAACCAGAAAAACCTTTGAAAGGGAAAACCCAGTGACCACTGCTCATGGATTCCCCAAACCAGGTGGGGTGGGTGAGGGGGGGGGGGCAATGGAAGGGAAATAAAAGTTGGGGCGGGCGGGGTGGGTTCGGGAACGGGGGAACCCTGTCCGATTCCACCCCCTTTACTTTTGGGCCAATGAACCCCAGCGTTTTCGAAGGGTCCAGATGGATTGAAAGGGACCGAAGTTTCCTTCGTTCCCCTTCTTGGAACCTCCGAAAGTGGCGATCGTTTCAGGGGGAAACCACCAACTCGAAGGGGAAAGTCCAGTGACCCCTCATGGATCCCTGAAAACGTGGCATCCGAACCAAATTTGAGTCAGACTCAAAACCCGGAATTAAAATGGTCGACCCCGAACCATGCTTCAAGAATCAAGAAGGCGGGTATCCTCAGCTACTTATGGCAAGGGGATCGTCCCTTACTAACCTTCATCTACCCGGGGGTTTTTGACTGTGGCTCAAATTGGATCCCTGCGAAATGGCGGGTTTTGAGCACTTGGCATCCACATGGCCTCGGTGCCCAAGATGTCTCGCAGCGAAATGGCCGCCAGCAGCACCCCCAGCGCCCAGCACAGCTGGGCCAACAGCGGGCTGGACAGCGCGATGGGCCGCAGATGCGGCCCCGGCCCCTGGAGTCGAACGAAGAGGTACCCTCCCACCAGCTAACATGGAAGTGCACAGCCCCTTGTAGAAAGACTATTTTCTTCTTGGAAAGGGCCTTTTTGCACTTCCATGTTAGTTGGTGGGAGGGTACCCTCCGAGTAAACGAACCTACGAGCGTTGAGTGACTTGGGTTCGGTCACTGGGCAAGTATCGATCAATTGAAGGATTTTCCGCGATCATGCCAACCATGAAAAACAACGACCGCCAGCCCTTAGAGAAAAAAAAAGGCGTCCGCCAATGGCAAGGTAGAAGCCGTCCCCGAAATATCATGCCAGGAAGAAAAAAACAAACAAACAACAAGTCGGGGTATGGTGTTGGAAAAGTGCTTGTCCATATCAAGCCTCAGAACCCTTACGGTGAGGCTATGGATTTCATGGTTTCTAATTAGGAAAGCGGAGTGGTTTCCGCTAACCCATCACTACCACACCGGAACAAAAGGAAATCTGATTTGGAAATTGGCAGTTCCAAAAAACAGAGCTCTACTTCTTCGGGCAGCCAAACAGATGTTCGAACTCCAGGAACATGAAGCGACAAAACAAATCTCGTTCCAACCTCCCGGCACACAGAGAACCATCATTTGGCACGCCGGAACCCGTTTAATGGGAACCCCGGATGAATGGTGTTGGATTCAGACGACTCTTGGAGGCAACATCCCCTAGCAGGACGGGTTCGACTCAGATCCAGGGTCAACATTGTTACAACTCTATGCCATGCGTACCTTCCCAGTCTTTCTTTTTCCAGGGAGGCTGGTTGAAAAGAATCTCTATTCTTTTCAGGAATCCGATTACTTTCCGGAAACCATCAGGGGAAACGGATCCGGTTTTTGAAAAGAACGACGGTTGCCAAGAATGGGGAATCATACCCTAGAGGGTCGCCGGATCCGTTTCCCCTGTTTTTATTTCCGGAAAAGATTCGGATTCCTGAAGAGAATAGGGAACCAACCCAGAAAGGGAAAGAATGGGGAAGCTTCTTCTAGGCACCCCCCGATCAACCCACTGAACTGCTCGAGCTCGGCCCGGCGCCTGGCCCGCGAGCGACCCTTCGAGCGCCGCGTCCAGGCGCCGAATCATCGGCGCCCACTGCGCCGCGCTGCGAAGCGTGGGGCTCCGTCGCCGGAGGTCGGCCAAAGCCCAGCACCTCTGGCGGAATTGCGACACAAAAAACGACTACGCATACATACACATATATATATATATACATGTATATATATATAGACAGTCACATATATATATATATATGTGTATATGTATGTATATATATATATATATTATACATATAATATTATGAGTATGCATATATATATATTAAACATATGTGGATATATATATATATATGTATATATATATATATATCTATACACGCTGTAAATCTAATATACATGTCTTGATATGTTTATCTTCAACTGGACTTCTCATACTGTGGATGGACAACATCCGTCTCGCACCACCGTTCAGAGACCCTGGTTTGTGATGGGATTCCCCTGTAAATACCAACAAGCAATGGCTTCAACCATGGCTCCGAAGTAGTGCGGGAATTCCCCAAAGTAGTTCACCAAAACGACGACTAGGACCATATATATATATATGTATGCATTGTATGTATATGCATATCATATACATAGCATATCATATACACATATTATATGTATATATAGTACTACTTGGCGCAAAAGGAGTCATTTAAAGCAATGCATGAAATTATGTTGGGATATTATCTTTACACATATTGTACATATATACACTGCTAGACTTGTAGTAAATGCGGCCCAGTAGGGGTGTGTAGCTTAGAGAAGGGGGTACACCCTCGAAGGGCCAAACACGGCTTGGCCGGATCCCGTTCCAAAGACTGTGATGCTTGTGGGTGGAAGGGTAAGCGGGCTTGTCTCTTGTTGAAGAGCGCCTCCTTTTTGACATTCTTTGGAAGGAATCCACAAGGAACTAATCCAATTGCTCAGCGAAGAAGAACAATTGGGAGGGTTCAGCGAAAGAGCGGTGTGGGTCAATTAATCATGAATGTCCAAATAAATCAATAGGGTCTGCAGGGTGAAGAGGAATCTAACGCCCGCCATGGCTCTTGTATAACATCAGGGCTTCCGTTTGAGTGGGACACACCTGCACACAACCGCCTGGTGTGTCAATTGAAGGCCGAGCAGAACACGTGTGGAACACGCAGTGGGAACCGACCTCAACCTGACAAATGGCTTAGGCAAACACGTCAGACTTTTGCCAAGTCAAGCATGTTGAAGATGGAAACACATCCAGCGTCATGTTCCTGTTGGCTCTCTAGAAAGGTTCATAGAACCTTAGAGAGTGTGGGTGCGCTCACCTCAAGGTTCCAGGAACTCGGAGAGGCTGGAGGGTCCTAAGCTGGGTGAAAAAAAACAATCTCCAACCTGAAAGAGAGGACCCAACCACAAATTTCCGGGGAGGGGTCCGGGTCTCTTGTGACTCACACCCTCCCAACACTCCTCAGATCGCCCGGCCAAAACGCACCCACATGAGCCATGAGACAGTCCTGCCACCTCCGACACTTTCAGCTCTGGAAGGCTCTCCTCCTCCAACCTCTGCTTGGTTCTCAAGCATTGGATTTGTCCCCGAAATCGGAGGTCGAAAAAGGAGCAACTCTCGGGATTTGCTTGAAGTGGTAGCATTACTTTTTGTGAGGGCAACCTTCGAATGGGATAGTTTCAAAGAAACTCTGCAAAACTAAACATAATGGACAACTAAGGAACCCTGGAAAGATTTGATCCCCCTGTAAATACCGACAAGCAATGGTTTCCCACGGTTTCATTTCGTGGTGCAAAATAGATTGCGCCCGCCACAGTATGGACTCTGTGTTCTTTGGAAGAGCCTCTTTTGGGCATGAGCCAGAAACCGAGATCGCCCTATCCAAACCCGATACCCACCAACCTGCAAACCAATAGCCTGGAAATACTGTCCGTTGATCACGTGGGTGTCATTTTAGGAGGATATCCTCTTGGTCTGGTTTCAAGTTGGAAAATGGCTGGCTTTCTTGGTGGGTTTAAGAGGAAGATGTAAGGAACACCACCATGTTCTGTATGTCTCTGGAGTACTACGGTACCCTAAAAAATGACACGCCCACACTACGAACCTGGGGTGACCGCGTTTTGTAATGCAGACTCCAGGTACATGAGTCTTGTCCAAGTGGGCTTCAATGTGTGCGTGTGTGTGTGTTTGCTTGCTTGCTTGCTTCTTTGTTTGTTTGATTGCTTGCTTGCTTGCTTGGTTGGTTGTTTGTTTGTTTGTTTGCTTGCTTGCTTGCTTGCTTGTCTTGTCTTGTCTTGTCTTGTCTTGTCTTGTCTTGTTTTGTTTTGTTTTGTTTTGTTTTGTTTTGTTTTGATTTGATTTGTATTGTATTGTATTGTATTGTATTGTATTGTATTGTATTGTTTTGTTGTGTGTTGTTTTGTTTTGTTTGGTTTGGTTTGGTTTGGTTTGGTTGTTTGTTTGTTTGTTTGTTTGTTTGTTTGTTTGTTTGTTTGTTTGTTTGTTTTTGTTTGTTTGTTTGTTTGTTTGTTTGTTTGTTTGCTTGTTCGTTTGTTCTTCTTTCTTCTTTCTTTATTTATTTCTTTCGTTCTTTCTTTCTTTCTTGCTTTGTTTGTTTGTTTGTTTGTTTGTTTGTTGGTTTGTTTGTTTGTTTGTTTGTTTCTGCATTTGCTTGTCTGATTGAACCTTTTTGGCGGTTGCCTACACCGTGAAACTCAGCGCAACACCAAGCGCCTTTTTGTTTTGGCGGGGTGGCTTCCCCTATTGTAACTAGGTCCTCCAGTAGAGAGGTTAGAATAAGGGCACCCTTTTTCTGTAGTCTATTTCAGTAGGGGAACCCTCCCAACCAAAAGAGTTGGTAAAAGTTGGCACTACTGGGGGACCTGGTTTAAGACACGCCAAAACAGTTGCAGGCATAGGTGTCCTTTTGTCAAAATAGATGGCCCTGGTAAATGGCATGAACCAATCTAAACCAGTGGAACCCATCTATTTCTCAGTATACTACTGGTAGATGATTAAACCACCAGATAAACTAGAATCGCCGTCTATTTTTCTACCAAAATACCCAAAAAGTCGACACCTATGGACATGGGTATGAGATCTAGATGTGGACTGTTTGATGGACACCATTTGGGTGGGGATTTATGTCCACCAACCGCTGGTTGCAAAAGTCGAAACAACTGGAGTCTCGCCGCGGCGCAGCTGCAGCGCCCGCTGCTGGAGCCGCGGCTCGCAGAAGTCCCGCCGCGCCGAGGCGCCGCAGAGCGCCCCCACCGCGGCGACGTCCGCGCCGAGGTCCGCGGGTGCGTCGAGGGCGCTGAGCGCCAGGCGGCGCCGCGCCGAAGCAGCGGAAGCGCCTTCTCTTCGGATCTCTTGGGAAATGCCCCGGGTTGAGCTTGGTTCATGTCAGTGGATGGGAGGGCACCCTTGTTGGGGAGTGGTTTGACACTAAAATGAATGGGACAACAAATTGGGGCCCCTATTTTGACACAAACCCAAGCACTTCCTGTTAACCCCAAATTGATCTGGTTGATTTTGATTTGGGGTGTCGCCTTTTAGTGGGAATCGGATCACTTTTGTGGATGACACCCCCTTATTACTTAGTAGGGCGGGTTTATTACTCCAGGGCCAACAATAAGGCTGAAGGGCATTTGTTCAAGCTAAGTTGAATGGAAAACCAACAAGAAACCCACGCTTATCCTACTTTGGATGGACAACATCCACTTCGCACCAGTTGGGAGGGGGCGATTCATCCCAAATGGTGCAGGTTGTTGTGCATCCGCAATAGGAATTATGTTGTCCTGCCATGATGAACTTACTAAGCAGCAAAGATATAAGTCAGTTCTTGGAAATTCAACCCAGGGTAAGCAGGGTACAAGTAACTGCGGGAACTGGGGTAAGCACCCTTGCAAGAATGGGTGAACAAAACCTGGGGTCTCCAAAGAAAGTGAAAGGGTCGTGGAGACTCCGAGCGCGGTTATAAGTTATCAGAGTGCTAGTTGAATATACCCTACTTGCTAAAGTGGGTTCAACATCCAGTTCAAGTGCTGGAAGACTTTGAGGTTTGGGTGATTGCTCGTGGATTTGTGCGTGTGACTTGGCTGGGTTTTGGGTAGGTTTTGGTAGCGCTCGCGTCTTTGGTGGATGCTTGCGGCTTGGGTGGTTTGGCTGGAAGCCTAAAGCAAGTAGGGAACGTAAGGGAACCAAGCCAGACGTTGGCGTTCAGCTCCCCCACTCAGCGCTGTATGCAAAAATATCATTGTTTTGCTCGCCCACAAAACCGAATTTCCCTTCACTTCCATAAACACTTGGACAGGGGGTTGGAAGCGGGGGGATTGGGCCCTTGGCGTTCCCCTTCGCAAGGATCCTTACATTATACACCTTGTAAATGGTGGTTCCCCCTTATTTTGGTGTTGAAAAAGCAACATGTTGCAAATGGTTGCGAAATGGAGATCTTTTAAGGAGCCGTGGGTTTCCCCGAAGCCGTTTGCCGGCGCCTTCCTCGCCGTGGGCCTCCGCCCCCAGCAGCGCCGCCGCCACCGCGGCGCCGACCTCCGCGCCGCGCGCCGCCACGCGGCGCCGCAGGCGGCACAGCGCCGGGGCCAACGGCCCGCGGCCCCAGGGGCTGAGGGCCGCGTCCGCCCGGGCCAGGGTCCTGGGCCAAGGGGAGAGGAACGCAGGGGAAAGCTACACAAAGGCCAAGGCGAAACAAACAAACAAAGCAAGCAAAGCAAGCAAGAAAGAAAGAAAGAAACAAACAAACAAACCCACACCAGCACATCCCCATAGCCCCCCATTGAGAAAAAGACAAAGTCCAAAAAAGAAACGCCGAGCTTCAGCACGGCCTCCGCGAATTCCTCAGGTCCGAGCTCCAGCCACGAGTCCACCGCCGCCAGCAGCTCTTCCGCCTGTCCACTCGAGTGGAGATGTCCATGGCTGCGCCTGGGCTCGGCTGTGGCAAGCGAGCAACAAGGAACGCGCGAGGCCTCCAATTGGTTGAGCCCCGAGTTTTGCAACTGGTGCCTTTTGTGAATTTGTGAAATTTGGCGGATCTCGACCCCTGATTCATCCCCCCCCCTCCAGTTATTGATCAGGGTTTCTGACTACTGCTGGGATTCCGTTCTTCCAGCAGAAGGCGGGGGATATTTTGTCAGGGGTCAACATGACCCTTGGCTTCCGAGGCCGCTCCGTGAATGACTTCACCCCGCCTTAGGCGTTTCAGCCAGGCCAGTGACCGGTGCAACGGCACCCGCACGGCCGCTATATGCCTCGGACCATTTTTCATGACGGCTTGGACTGCTGCCAAGCCAGACCAAACCAAATATCGTGTGCATGATTCTGGTCCATGTACACCAGCTACTCGAAGAACCTACCAAAAAAGGGGGGGTTGGCAGCTAAGCGTTGAAAACCAAGTCTTCGGTTGAAGAACCTGGTTTTGCTTCCTGAAACCTGCACAAAAACCGTACAAAAACCGTATAAAATCCGTGCGAAGCCTGTCTTTTTGGCATGTTGTTTCAAAACCAGGTTGTGTTTTGCAACCCGCTGTTTTGTAGGATTTTGCAGCAGCAGCAGCAGCAGCAGGTAGTAAACCCCAAATGCCAAGAAAAAAAGAAGAAAAAAGAACGAAAGAGGCCTTAGTATACCTAAAGACGCTTGCCTTTACCTAAAATTGAGTCATTCGGTCACAGAAGACGCTTTAAAAGACTCGCGACCGGCTCATCCCACAATGCCGGCACAACACACTTTAAGTCAGGAGCCAGCTGTACAAGTTGGAAACAAGGCGTGCGATCCCCTCAAGCAGGCCTGTTCTTGGCAGGAAAACGTGGGCAATCAACCTCCTGGGGTGGGGGTGCGGGGAAGCATGACAACACAAACACGAACAAGTTTCGGGCTCTGAGATTGAGACACCCTTACGCCCTTTAGCCAGCAACCAAGTCAACATGTTGCAAATTGCAACCCCTCAGGACGTTCACTTGAGTCACAACTAAAACCTGGTATTACACAACTATCCGATGCAAAGAATCACAAGGGCACACCGGTTTGTGGTTGGGACTGCTCAACCTCTTCTTGCCCAGGTCTCATGGCTCTTTTGGATGTATGGAAAGTCAGCGTTTCTGTAGTGCCAAAGTGGGTGTTTTGCATCCCATGACTACTGACTCTGTGAAGGGGACTTCCTTTGCCACGCAGCGCAAAGTTCACACAAAACATATTTTCCACCATGGGTGTCTAGACCTCAAAACGGAACAGGGATACCAAAAAGGAAGCCTCAAAACCAGTTCTCACATCGGATGTTCACTTGGGTGTTTGTCAAAATAGGGAATTTCTGAAATGGCAATTGTTCTTTGGGTGTCCCTTTCAAACCAACCACGAGGGGGTTCCCAAAAATGACGAGCCACCCACTTCGAAACTCAGGTAACCTTCTCTTGGTGGTTTGGATTTATGGTTTGGATGTGGATTTGAGCCGCTACTTCTTGCAAAGGGTAAAAGGGGTGTCCCACCCCCATTTTAACTCGCAACCACCGGGCTGCAAACCGCTCATTCGGCGTGTCTTGTTTTGAGGGTACCCCCTTTTTCATGGTTTTAAAGGGCGCATGTGTGTTTTCTCTTTTTTTGGGGGGGGATTGCTAAAAAAGACACACCCTTTTTGAGGGAAGCTGATCTCACTTGGCCTGGAAATAAAATGGTAACCTTTTGGCACCTTCACCGAAAATGAACCAAACTTGGAAAAGTTCAAAACACCGCGCCGACGTGCCGCCCCGCTGGGGCCTGGCCACCAGTTCTTGAGCTGGTGGTGTTTAAACGTAAACAAGAGGGGAAAAAAAAAGCACCATTTGCAAAAACACAAAGAACAAAATAAAACGGCCATGAAAAAAAGACAAATAAAAAGCCTTTCCAACTTTCAGGGTGGAATTGAATTCCAATAATTGCTATTTGAGGGTCAAGGATTTTGCTATTATTGCAATTATTTGGAATTAGTTGGCCTGGCTTGGGGGCCAAATCTGGGATCAATTAATTATTGCAAGTACTGCAATTCTTGGAATTGAACTCCAATAATTGCAATAATTTTGCAAAAGCCGGGACCCCCAAATATTGCAGCATTTTGCCATTTTGACACCGACCCCCCCAAAAAAAAGGCGCGCCCAGCCTCGCCCGGGGAAATCCACCCGCCGAGCCGCCAGAGGCGCCGGGCCAGGCGCTTCCAGCTGCGCTCCGGCGCGCTGGGCTTGGGCTCCGGCAGCTGCAGCCGCTTCGCCAGCTCCAGGCCCTGCCTGTGAGTGTCGCCGGGGCCGGTCGTTGAGGCTATCCGGCACATAGAAATGGATCAAAATTTGTCTCTTTTAAAGGAACATGGTCCAAACCATGTTACCTGGCAGGTGGTTTGTGTGGATGGGAGGGTACCCTTTTCTGGTCGAGTTGGCAGGGAAGTTGGTTAGGGGCTGCCAATATCTTGGCACCCCAAATAGAGCTAGCTGAATTGGAGGATCCCCCGAAGCCCCTTGACCCTTGACCCCTACCTCGAATGGCTCCCTTGAAAACCCTTCGGCCGAGCAGCAGGAACTGGGACACAGAGATCTCAGAGTTCCGCTTGCCCAAGACACGGAAGATGAACTCCAAGTCCTCCTAAATCGTTTGGGACCCCTACTGTGGGGGACGAAGTCTATTTCGCACCACTTGGGATAGATGAAACCCTGTAAATCATGGGATAAACCGCCTACTAACTGGCGCGAGATGTATTTTGTCCATCCACATTACAGGGGATGCCAACCCAAAAAAAGGCCAGGGGGGGGTAAGTTAAGCTGGCGGGCTTAGCAACTAAGGAACCCGGCAGCCTCGGCACGTAGGGTGAAAAACGGGATGGCACAACTTTCTTGGTGTGGGGTACGTGAACAAACCAAAACGGGCGAATTGCCCCATCTACTTTCACCCGACTGTCCGGTTTTGGTGAAAAAGTCTTTCGATTCGCTGTCCGCCTGGTTTTCGGATCAAAGGGCTGAACCGGATACCCGGCGAAGCCTGGTGTCAGGGATATCGATTTTATTACGATGTATCGTTTTGCAGCAAGTCTTTGGGAAATGGAACCCACTTCTATGATACAGCCGAAAGGGCCCAACAACTGACTCTTTATTTTAAAAAAAGAGGGTATTCTAACCTGTATCACAGTGGTTGGATAAACCCCCAGCAATCCGTCACAACCCCCACGTTTTACCGGGGATAGCGTTGAAACCGGCCGCACATCACGCCTGCAGCTCCGCCTCCGCTTGCTCCAACAAGGTCGGCCCGAAGAACCGCAGCACCACGCTGCGCAGCCACCCGGGTTGCCGAACGCCTGGCGCGCTTGAAGGCGGCGGTCTGAGCCAACGCGCACGGGGAGCCACGGGCTGTCCGTGTCCTCAGATCCCCTGTGAAAAGTGAAGAACGTGTGGGGTAAACTCGGAAATCCCACCACTAAACACAGAAAAACAAATAGAAAAAGCTAAGTTGAACCGGCTGGCTGAGAACCAAGGGGAGACATGGGAAGTACATGGCCAGCCCTGGTCCTGCTGAGACCTCTTTGGGAACCTAAATCCCCAAGATTTCCCCATGGCGATAGTTTCTGTTTGAGGGCACCCTTTTTTGGGTTGTGCTAAAGAGAAAACGGAAGAAGAAAACCACATATTCTTCGGGGGTCTGTTTTAAGACAAGAGTCACACCCCACCCAATCCAGAACCAGCCACGCACGATCCGGCCTTGAAAGAAGGCGTCTTTGGAGAGCCACCCGCCGGATGTCTTGTCCAGGGCGTTGAAGCCTCGTTGCACCTCCTCCTTTGTAGGCGCCACAAGCCGCGCCCGGTGCTCCGACGTGGAGGCGGTGGGTGCCATGGTTTGAAGGAGCTACCCGGTTCGTTCAAGTTGCCTGAAAGTTGGCCGATAGTTGCGAGGGGACATGGTGGAAAACCAAAAAGGCGGATGGTTCTTAAAAACAAAACGAGTTTGTTTGGTCTGGCGATGATTAAGGGAGCCGCAACTACTGTTACAATAAGGTTGCGGGCTACTGTAAAGCCAAATTAGATCATGATCACAGCGCCGGAGTTTAAGTACCATGTCCTTCCAGAACTCCTGGTGGCTCCTCGGCTCCCTCTTGAAAGCCAAATTTGGGATACGCCCAGCCCCTTCCAACCAGCAGTTAACCACGGCACCTCTTGGCCTTGCTTTGGGCCATTGCGCGCTCCATTTGGAGCAGCGCTGGAGCCAAACACCGCGGATGCGCGCGGGGAACAGCGCCTTTGAGCCCCAGCTTTTGGGCGACCAAATGGGAAACTGAGCCCAGGTTGGGGATACCCCATTTGCTTGGCTGGAATTAGGACCCCAGCAACCAAAAAAAAACATTTTTGTTGGGCTGGTGGGAAACCAAGGGGATCCCAAAAAAGCAAAAAAACAAAAAGGGAACTAATTCTGGGGAGGTTTGAGTGTGGTTTCCTGTTTTGGGGAATATCTTGGGATTCCGCAGTGGAGCCAACACTTCCATTTGCTGAAATCCCATGGAAAACTCTTGATATGTCCAGCGAGAGATTCCTTTAAAAACCAGGTGAAAAACAAAGCATACTATGCTTAAGCACATGGAAGATAAGGGTATGTGTCAAAATAGCGGTTCCCGAAAAATTGAAGGTCTCCTTTTGGCGTCCCTTTAAACAAACCCCGAAACAGGTATGGTGGATGTCCTAAATATTGCAAGCAGTGAAGGACCCCGCCCCCACAAAGCGCAACTTACCACAAGTTCTTCAGGTTGAATGCGGTTGCTTTACTTGCCATATTTCGGACATCCAGCGTAGCCTCCAAAAAGAAAGTCTGAAGAAAACCAAACCCAAGACACAACTCAAACCACCCACACCCCCCAACGACGCCTGGCCCACAAGGCCACCTCTGCCAGGGAGGTGTCTCTGTGAAGGTGCACGCGCTCCTCACGCGGATCCGCGGGAGGCTGGGGGCTGGGCCAAGCCCTTGAAACATGGCCGAACCGTCTTTTTTGTGGGGGGACCCGTACCCCTTTCTTGGCGTTTCTTGGTTGGTCTTAAAGGGAAGCCAAAAGAAAAAAAATGAGGGGTCCCTAAAAGGGAGATGCTAAGACCCTTTTCAGCCTGTGGTATGGCTTGTAAAAACCTTTGGTGGTTGCAGTCGCCCCCCACCCCCCCCTTCACTAAAACTGAGCAGAACCCCCACAAAAGCCAAGAACATTTTTCCAGCCGCGGTGAAGAAGCTTTACCTCGCTTCCTTTCCCGCGTGGATTGCCCCCGGGACCAGGGTCCCGTTTGGCCCCCTGGGCTGGGCACCCAAAGGAAGCCCCGGCGCCGAGGGAAACGCCGGGAGCTGCAGGGATTGTTTTGCTTCTGCAGCTGGGGGTGCTCTGCCCCCAGAACTCTGTGCGTCCTTTTGCCTTACAAAAACAGCCAAAAGGACTCCCCTCAAGAAAAACACGCCCAGGTTGGCAGTTGACATGAACATTTACACTTTGTGGGGGAAGAAGGAGTTTGAGTCGTTGTCACTTTCTGCGAACCAAGGGGCGCGATGAAAACTCATGAAGTAGTCACGGGATTCGGATGGGAATCCAAACTAAATAAACGCCAGCACCCACCCCCTTTGAGCCAAAGAAAAGGTGAGCCACAATCAACACCTAGTGCTGAAATGGTCTACACAAAACCATAAAGAATCAAAAAGGCGGCCGCGCCTGTCCCCTACTGACCTTCATTTTCCCGCGCTTTGATTGTGGTTGTCTTTTTCCTCTTGAGGACCCTTGAATTTACTCTCCCTCCCGCGTTGCAACAACATGCTTCCTCAGGAGAGAAGACAGTCTCCTGCCGCGTACCCAAAAAACCAAGTTCCCCATGTACATCAACATGAACCCCAAAGAGGTGATTCTTTCCCCTATCGATTTCTAAAGCACGTAATCTTCCCCAAATGTTGTCAGGTGAAGACCCACGGCGCCATAGTGAAGTGCGTCCTTTGGTAGCTATAGTTTTGGTCCCTGGAAGCCATGGTCAAATGGAACCGAGACTCGCAATACACACACACAAATTCAAGTGTTTAACGCCGCCCTTGCAACTCCACTTGGAACCCAAAACGCCCGCTTTTTGCACGGACACCTCCTTTCGAACCACCTTGTGCCCCAAAACAGGGGGAAACACGGGGGCCCCGCTTTTCGTCTCCCCAGTTCCGTGGGCCTCGGAGTCGATCTTGGAGGAGGGCGCGTAGACCATGTCCTGGAGGGTCTGTCGTTCTTGGAGTTGGTGTCCCCCTTTTTTTTGGTAGGTTTTTTAAAGGGAAACCGTCAAATTCTTCGCCTGGAAGAAGGTTCCTTGGGTTGGTCTCCCCCCTTTTTTGGTGGATCATAAAGGGAACCCGTCAAATTGTGTGGCCCTTCGCTTTCGTCTCCACTCCAAAACGGGTGCTGTTCCCAGCAACTTAAAGCAGAAAGACTCGTCTTCTACAGGGTTTCTTTAGAGTCATTATCCAAAAAAACACCTGCTTTGCAAGTATTTAGATCCTTTGAAGCAGCTTTGACTGTTTGACTGCCTAGACGTATCCATTCGGGCGCGTCTTTTTCTAGAAGACCACCCAAAATTGCTTCGGCTTTCCTTGCCGGTGCCCGTCCGTTTAATTAAGTTCTTCGCTCGCACCATTTTGTGGGTCGACTCTTATATACCGAGGTTCCACGTTAGGTGCCATTCTTGAGCCAACCATATAAGCTCGGTTGCTTTCTGCTCCCCTGCTAAAAGTTTAACTTTTAGTGGTTTAATGGAAAACCCACCAGTTGGCAAAAAGCTAAAGTCCTAACATCCAAGCAAAATGCAACAAAGTTCATGACTTGACTGGGAATTCCTGGCCGGTTCTATGGTTGCTCCCGACGAGAAGAACACCATGAAAGGCAAGAGGCGAAAAATCGAGAGGAGAACCCGAATTTCTCCTTCCCATGGCTTTGCCTCCGGGCAGAATCGCCCTTGTGCCTGAGGTGGGGGGAGACCCGGGGAAATTCTGTCGGCAAATGGAAAGTGCCCAAGCACACCCCCAAGCAAACCCGCCCACACCGACCCCAGTTTTGGTCTATTTGGCTGTGCTTGAATCAGGTGCACAAGTCCACCGTCCACCACTCAGGTGGTCCCTAAGTCTCAAAGAACATGTTGCAATCTTAGGTGGTACTGTGGATGGACGAAATCCTGCACCACTTTGAAACCATGGGAAACGACTGTTTGTTGGTATTTACAAGGGAATCGAATCCTTCCAGGGTTTCTTAGGTGGTGCGAATGGATTTCGGCCATCCACAGTATTCCCTGCCGCGCCCAAACGCAGTCCCCGAAGTCTTTCCAGTCCTCCGACTTGACGATGTAGAGATTGTGGCACACCCCCTCCGGCAGGAAGACGTCGTCCGTGGGTGAGCACAGCTTCTCTTTGCAGGCCAGGTGACAAATCAGGTCCTCGCAAGAGTCGGTGTGTTGGTTTTGGGAGGTTTCAGGGCCAGACGGCCGCGGGTAGAACAGGGCTCACAGGATTTCCCCTTCAAAAGTTGCAGTTTGCCGGCTGTGTCCATTGAAGCTGCCACTTTTGGAGGTTCCAAAAAAGGAAAGGAGGAAACCCTGTAGAACATTGGCATGTTGACCGAACCTTGTACGTGGGTGGCTCGTCTTTCTTGAGGGAAGGAAACAACCCACCATTTTGCGGGGTTCCCTATTCTGAGACAATCCGCCTCAAAAACCCAAGCCCTTTACAAGTTGGTTCGCATCGAAAAGTTTTGGTGATGTTTGACGGGGTTTGAGAAAAGAGGGCATGCGCTGCCGATGTGATTGTAAAAATAGGGTTGTCTCCAAATTGAAAACCCCAGTTTCCCCTAAAAAAAGACACAAGACACAGCCCCGCAAACCCTGGAACTTTCCTTTGAACCCCCCGGAACCCTCACTGACAGCTGCTACGAATATCTGACAGACTATGTTTCTTTTTTTGTTAAGGGGAGGGGGCAGAGACCCCGAAGCTTTCAGCTGTTGGGGAACAAACTGGGTAGCCTCAAAGAGACATGAATCCCCAAACACGGGTGAGAACCTCTGGCTGGATTGGCAACAAGGGGCTTCGGTTTTATCACTTCGCCCGTGAAATCGTGTTGAGTGCCCTGGGCTCAGAATTGGGAAGGTACAAGAGCCATTGGGCCCGGAGCTCCCATGAACGGACAAGATACCACTGATGTTGACCCCCCATGAATCCACCCCAGTTTTTCATGGGGGGCTGCTTTTCCCTGGGTTTAGTGAGGAATCAGACCAGTTTTGGAGTGGACAACCCCCTACTAATAAAACTGGGTTGATTAATATAGGCTCAACATTAGTTTGAAGTTTTGTTCAGGATTGAACATCTGACGCTTGGGCATGGCGACCGGCCCAGTCCAACAGCAGGTTGCCCCGCATCTTCAGGTCGTTGGGCATCCTGAGGAACTCCGCGTCTGGTGGACGCAGAAAGCAATTATCAAGGGGGTGACATTTCCCTTTGGTCTCCGTGCAAAACCTCGCAAGGTGGCAACTCCGCAGGAGATCAAGGGGAAGCGTCTGTCACCTCCATTTGCTTATAGAAGTCCCCTGGAAAAACAAGAGTACTTCCAGTGATAGATTCCCTTTAAAGCCAGCAGGGGGACATTTAAAACATTCTCAAGCAAATGGCAGGTCTGGAAGATTCTTTTCCGAGGGCTTCGAAATAAGAGCGATAAGAAGTTTACCCGGATACAGCCAACAACTGCTATTTGCCCAATTATACGGCCCCACGTACCCACAATGAAAGGACCCCACCTGTGAAGTGTGTACCCAAGATGGTGCCTACATAACCCATGTATAGCCACTGATTTTGAGGTATGTCCATTTGAATAGAAAAGGCCCTTAGACCAATCACCCCACATGGGATCCTAGTGATTCTCCCATTTCAGCTGAATGGCTTCTTACAAGGGCTAGAAGAACTGTTCTTGGCCCAGATCCAATTTTTACTATTGCGGTTTGGGCATGTTTTGAGGTTCGGAGCAATCCAGAAATTCCTATTCTAGCTCATGCCCACGGTTTGGTGACAACTTAAGCTCATATGTCCAAGCTAACATCACCCCGGAACCATATCCACAACCTTGAAGGCAATGCCCATCTTTCCGTAAAAAATCGTGGCCATTCGGGGTGGCTCGTCTTTTTGCCGAGGGTCAAAAGGAAAACCGGAGCCATGTTGGGGGTTCCCACCTAAAGAATACATCCATGCGAACACTCCCTCGAGGCGCCCCCTTTGTTCTGGCCCCCCTTCAACGGGCACCTCTCTTTGGTTGGATTCAGTTGAGCAAACCAAAACAAAGCCACCATTTTTTGCAAGGATCCCTTAACTTGCCGCGATAGGTAGGGAAACGGGCCCGGGTAGGAAACCAGATCGGGGATGAGTTTTGCAGGGATCATTCCATTTATCGTTCCCTGCGCTGGTTTCAAGAAGTTCCCCTCCAACCACAAGTTGAACAAAGGAAATTCCTCGACCCGCTGAAAGTGGATGTTTGCACCTTTTTGGACCAACCACTAAAACGGGCTTGTAAATTGGGGTCTGTCTCCTAAAATAGTATTTGGAACCCACCTTGGGATTGTTTGATGTTTTTGTCCCCCCTTCAAACCAAAGCAAAATGAAACCAAACCCAACTTCAAGCCAAAGCCAAAAGAAACCCCAAACAACCACCCCCCTCCACTTGTTGGTCGAACCCCCCCCAAACAACAACCCCTCCCCCCACTTGTTGTCCGCCCCCCCCCCCCTGCAAACACTTTTGCCTCACATGAAAGGACGGTGTTGCGGTCCAAGGCCCCGGCCAGTGGATGTCGTACAAGGTTTGGAGGAACATCTCCTGCCACCGGTTTGACAGGGACCTCAAAATTCTCCGGTTGGGTGCCTCGTCTTTTTTTTTTGAGTTGGTACCAATTGTTGTTGGTGGGTTTTAAAGGGAACTCAAAGGACAACCACCCATTTTCGGGGGTCCCCTAAACAAAGACGAGCACAGTTCTTCTCCTGGGACCAACTGGGACCTCAAAAATTGTGTGGTGTCTCTCACAAACACCCCGAACCATTTGGGCATGAATTTTATTTACAGGCTATGTTCCTATACATACATGCTCATCTGGGTGTTAACTGTGTTTCGGGACACTTTGGTGGACATCATATTTAGGCGGATCAACAGAAACATGTTGTTGCCGCACAGCAAGCAGCAGTCTTTGCTGGGTGTCTTCTTGAAATAAGAATTGTACTCCTGGCTGGTTTCGTTTGACTCTCCCTCTAAACTTCAAAAGGGAGTCTCCAATTAATTGACCTTGACACCCTGGAAGGCTTCCCATTGGCTTCCCTTCGAATACTATCCCAATAAAAACTCCAATAGGACGCCTCCAATTTCAGCGTAAGCCAATGTTTGGCGACGCCTCTCCTTTCCCGGCTTCCCTTTGGCACCCAAAGCCCAACCCCAGCCCCCAATTCTAGCCCCTCCCCTGTTTCCCCATGACATCTGGCCACATGAAACTCGGACATTCGGGGGTGAAACATATGAGAACGCGTTCCCCGAAACACAGCGGCCTTCCTGCATATCCACCACCGTTCAGAAACCATGGTTGAAACCAATTGTTGATATGTTTGTTGGGGAATCATCTCACTCCAGGCTTTCTTAGATCTGAGGTAAAATTGGTTTCCCATGGTTTCTTAGGTGGTGCGAAACAGATGTGAATTTCAATGAGGGGCCTGGTGGACATCGTTTAGGCGGGGATTTACGTCAACCAACCATTTGGCAGGGGGTTCCAACTTTGATTTCGCAACCCTCCACTTTGAAAGGCTGCGACACCAACCATCTGCGAAAAGGGAGTGGTGTTGGTCCAACAATTCCCAGCCAGCTTTCGCAACCACCCGCCAGCTCCTTGTGCAGCCGCATTCGGGTCTTCTCCGGCAGGTCCTCCGAGGAACAAAAGAGGAAAACCCGAAGAAACAAAAGGAACTCCTTCACTTCCATCGCTTTTTCACCCCCTGGAAAAAAAATTAGAATACGTGCCCAGTAGTCATAAATTCCCCTTAGAACCAAAAGGGGGAGAAAAAAAGAAGAAAAAAAAACTACTCGAACAAGTGGAAGTTCACTGGCTTGTCGCATTTACGAAGGAGTCTAAGGTCCACATAGACTGGATATTTTCCGGCAAATGCCAACTATGCTCGCGGCTAGTGCAACGGGAGAATGGGATAATGTGTCTGGACGAACGTTGGAGCATGTTGGCCAGGGTCAGGGTTAACATCGGTTATTGAAGGCCCCACACTGAATAACTATCAGAATCCAAAGAGCAAACATCAAACCACATGCCAAGCTATGCTGTATGATGGCAGTAAAATCGGGTAAAAACCATTCAAAAATATCAGAAGCAAGGCTCTTTGGATCACCGGAAATACCCACAAGACTCCATGACCCACTGAAGGCCTTACGGCTTTCATCAAAATTCCGACGCCACCTGATGCGGAGTTTGAGACTTCACTGCACCTTGTGCTTGACATTTCACCCCCATTGAGATGCAAGCGGTGATTTAAGAGGAACCTAAGACGGGTGCCAAATGCTGGGCCAACAAAAGCAGCCGCCAAGTCGGTTGGCCAATCGCCCCATCCGATCCTCCTTTCTTGGTGGAAAGCCATGGGATCCCTAACCCAAAGACACTCAGGATAAATACAAATCCAAGAGCTTGACCCCAGCCGTAGGTACCACAAAGATATGCCCCAAACCCTAAGTTGGCCCTGTTTGCCACCAAAGTGCCCTTCAAACAAGTGACTAAAGTCCAGGAACGCAGGGAGCGAGTACTCCTTTTATAGCTTGGTACCTCCCCACCTTTGAGGGTGCCCAGTGACCCGGATTGCCTTTCCAGAACCAGAAAAGTGTCAGGAAGTATTTGTTTGTATATGTCGGAGTGACCCAAATATGTTATTGAGCCCAAATACTGTGAATGGTTTTGCGAAATCCATTTTGCACCACCATGCAGAAACCCGGGTCGATTCCCCTGTAACTACCAACAAACAGTGATTTCTCGTGGCTTCAAACTTGCTGATAGCCCATGGATTCCAAATGGTGCGATTTCGGGATTTCTCCACGCGTCCTGAAACATCACCAAATCTGACTCCACCAGGCGGTAGCTCTGTGTGGCCTTCTTCGCCCAACACTGCCTCCAAGCAGCCGCACGCTTGGAGCCCGGACGCCGGAGGTACTGTGGACAAAACCCTGCACGAACTGAAACCATGGCTGAAGCCATTGCTTGTTGCATCATTCCAGGGTTCCTTGGGTGCAGGACTTTGTCCATCCACAGTAGTACCGAGGTGAGCATACCGCTTGCTCGAAATTGCTGGGGTACGCTGCACGTCCTGAATATTGCAAGGGAACCAAGGAAAGCTCGTAAATTCCCATGTCTGGTTGGTTTACTTGCAACATTTCGGGCATCCAACGTACCTCGCCCTCCCCAAGGGAAGCTGGGCAACAAAGGCTGAAAGCCTCTTCCGGAAGCTCCCGGACCACTTCCATGATTCAAGTCCAGGACCCGGTTTTCCATATTCAATAATATGTCGCGTGGCATAAGACACTTGCGGATTGATTTTGAGCCCACAAAAGGGGAAAAAACCCAAGGTTCAAGTCACTCAAAGTACTGAGTTTGAACCAAAACTGAAACCCTCGCTCAACATGTAATCGATTTCGGAAGGACGGGGCTCACTGTCAAACCCACTTTCAAAGAAACAGCTGCCGCGGCCTATGGAAGACGTGGGGCCTCACAAAATATATAACTGGACCCATCCCGGTGTTGCTTCTTGGGGGTGAGCACTGGAGATGTTGCCTCTCGACCCACGCCCAGTGGGTTTCTTCCGTTTAAACTCTTGTTTGAAAGGGGCACACGCTTTAAAATCGTAACAACCACGGAAGAGTGCCAATTCTATGGGAATCCAGGGTCGGGTTTCCAGAAATGAAATCTTCGACGTAGCATCCACCACGGACCTCCGGAAAGGAAGCGGTACCTTCGTGAGTTTTCTTTTTTGAAGTGGGTCCAAAAGCAATGGATCCGGGTTTTCCAACCCCCGCGCAAAGAGAGTGCGGGAGGAGGTTGGGCGAAAAGCATGGGCTCCAAAATGTCGGGAAGCCGAAAGAAACCCCCAAATGGGTCTGCCGGGTTCTTTGGAATCGGACCGTTGTCCTTTTGGTGTGCCCTTTTAAAAAAAAACACCAAGAAAGGAGATTCCCCTCAAAAAGAGACAAGCCGCCCATTTACCAACACTCATACTGTATCTCATACTGATCATCTGTCAAAGCCTCAGGGGAAAAAACCACAAAACAATACACGGAAGACCCTCACTAGCTGTTCTGGCATAATTCCCAGGCGAAAATCATGACCAAGGGCTCCGATTCCATGCAACCTCACACGCTATGGGCCCGGGGATCCGATGTGCTTCAAGGGAATGGCGTCAGAACCAACCAGGAAGCCAAAGTGGGAGGTTCCGAACGAATAGTTAAGGATCCCCAGGCTTCGGCGTTAGGAAGCCAAACTGGAAGAGGGTACTCCCTTGCACCCCAAGAAACCTCCAAAAAAAGAGACAGGGGACACAAAAGCAGAAGGACCGCAGTGATGTAGCTTTCCAGCTCCAACTTTTCCAAAACACGTGCAGATATTACTCGCAAGCTTCAACCTGGTTGCCCCCATTCACAACGCCACGAAATCGCCCGCTTTGCAGCGGGGGAGGGAGCCGTTTGCCCGGCGACGTGTGATTCGCGCGCCTCACGTGGGTCAGCAGATCCGCGGAGAGGTCCCGCTCCGTGAAGAACTGACGGACCTGGGCCTCCGCCCGCGCGTTGGACTCCTGGCGGCCCTTTGGCGGCTTCGAGGTTTCCGAGGCTTCGGGCGGGGGTCCGTGTCGGGAGGGGTGGTGTCTGGTGGTGTCGGGACCAAGCCATGTGCCCGCCAAAAGCCGAACATCCCCTGGTGAACATGCCCATCCAAGCCAAAAATCGGTTCTAACATGGGGGGTGAATTCACCAATCCCCCAAGGTGGGATCCCAAAACGGTTTTGAGCCACAGCCATGTGACTCCCGACTGAAGGAAGTTGGTTGGGTATTTTGGGAATTCGGGGGAAGGGGGAGGGGGTGTTAGGGGGTGGGGAGTTGGAATTTTAAGAAAAAATTGGATCGCACAGCCTTGCACTTTCGGTTTCGTCCCCTTTGGCGACATAATGGGAAGGTGCCGTCTTTCAACCTGGTGTAAAAGGGAGTTTGCGGGGAAAGGACCAAGCGAACATATCTTGAGTTGGGACTTCCTTTGCGGTCGATGGCTTCTGTGACCCGGGAAAAGGGCTTCTTGCTTTGACAGACTGAAAGGGGTGGGTGCATTCTTTGAAAGCGACTAAAATTACGGGACCGAGTCAGACTCCCAGCCTTTTGGAGCGGTCCTTGACAGTTTGGTCGATTCACTTGGGGTCTTTCTTGGAGAGTACCCTTGGAAAGTTGGTTGCAAGGGAACGCCACAAGGATAAACTGTAGCCACTCTTCGGGGTCGGCTCCCTTTGAGACACATCCATTCGCTTGAAGTGCTCAAAGCGAGCATTGGTCGATGTTCAATCGGAATTGAACTTGTTTGTACCGTCGTTTGGTGACTTTGTTTGAGGCTGGGAACCCTCGTTTGGGTGGATTTAAAGGTTCAAATGGAAACTCCTGTTTTGGCGGGTTGCTCTTACGCCAGTTTGGCAACATGCAAAGATGGGAGATGATCCCATATGAAGCAGTACAGTGGTTTGTTGATTCGAACCAGTCTGAAACCAGTTTGGCTCTATCTAGTACTCCAAATGGGAGTGGGTCAAAAATAGGTACCCAAATTCAACCCTGGTAAATGGAATTATGAACGAAAGTCCGCGGTCCCCTGATTGTTTCATTTTGACTCACAGCCAAATTGAAACAAGTAAAGGACATCTGTGCATGAGACGGGCCTAAACAATTAGGCCGGGGATGCAGGGGGTACTTTACTGAAGCTGTAACCAAAAGACGGCTAGCCACTCAGCCTTTACCATGCAACAAAAGGCCCGAAGGGGCCCTGGAACATTTTGACAACCGACAACCGATGGGTGACGCACGAGAGAGGGTGAACCCCTTGACAGCCCAAAAAGTCCCAAGACACTTGCACTGGTACCCTTCCACTAACATGGAAGGCAGAAAGCTTGGGGTATCCCACCGAAGTCAGCTTGAGAAGGGGTCCCTCAAAAAGCAGGGCCTAGTTTGATCCCGTGAAAGGTGGCTGCCATGTGCTGGAGGCGGCAGGGTGTGGGCTTGTTCAACCCCAGGCAGGCGTTCCGCTCCTTCGTTCCTTCAATTTCTCCGTACATGACCCGGCCCAAAGGAAACTCGCTTTTAAAGGCCCCGAGTGATGATTGAAACCAAACACAAGTTGCCCGTATTCACCGTCGGCCTTCAGAAGACTCCCCACCCCTGAGGTTCTTCCATGTTCTTCCATTTGCTTTCCCCCCCTCCCCCGGAAAAGAATACTAAAAAACATTCCAGTAGTGATAGATTCCCTTTAAACCCAAGTTGTTGAAAGAAAAAGAAAAAATGAAGAAGAAAAAAAGAAACATATTCGCTTCAGCCACTGGAAGTGTTTTTCTTTTTTTTTGTGGGGTGGATGTTGACCCGTTCGTTCGTCGCCTTCACGGCTCTCAGCGCGGTAACGGCGGTGGTGATGGAGCTCACGAAGGAGGAGAAGATCGCCAGGGCAACGATCACCACGAACTCGGCGAGTTGGCCATGGGCTTTTCAAAATCCAAATCGGTTAGGTTTCAGTGAACGGGAACATCCCAATCCCGGTCAAAAATAGGTTCTGAAATGGGTGGTGAATTGACCTACCCCAAAATGGGATCCCATTGGTTTTGACCAACAGCCAGTTGTCCCGGGTCAGTAAGCGCGGACCGTTAGCGAGGGGATTTTGATTTGTCTTTGGACACCAATGGGAGGTTGGACCGGGAAAACCTTTTGTCGGGGATGCCGGTCGGACACCCACCACTGCGCTTTGGGACAAGGGAACCCAACCACTGCTTTTTGGGACTTAAAGGAAGTTTGGACGTGGGAAATGGACTATTTTTTGGCGGCTGGTCGGAGCTCGGCGTCGCCGCACGCGCAGGTTCGAATTTGCAGGGAACAACAAGAATCCAGGCCTTCCCCTCCCTCTTCGAAGAACAACATACGTGGTGATTCGAAAAGAAACATCTAAGGCCAATAACACGAACCCAAATAAAACACACAGAGCCGACAAGCAAAGATCAACTCAACATGCACAAACAACAGCTCAAAAGGCCCAAAATACGGCAGCAACAGGCCGCAGTCCAAGTCACCTGCAGAAAACCAAGGCCCCCCCCGGCCCAAAAACAATGTCCCTCCCTTATCTTTTTTAAGGAAACTAAACCGGACTGGCCTTTCTGAGAGGTCACGTTCCAAAAAGAGCTGGGTCCCGGGACCCATTTGTTTGGGCATCAGAGTCACCCCCCATTCAGTGGGCTCAAGGGAAACCACCGAGTCCTCTGTAGAAACAGTCAAAATCATGAATTCAGGGGAAGTGTAGACAATTGGCTGTGGCTCAAAATTAAAGAGGAGGGGTTACGCGGGTGTTGGTCCATGTTTCCACTTACCAGGGTTCCATTTTAGTACCGGTTTTTGAGCCACAGCCAATTGGCAACCGACATGAGATAGCGAGATAGCCCCAACCAAAGTTCTGATGCTTGATGCTAGTCCACAGAATGAACCTCAAATGTAAAGCATCATCTCCAAAGACAAAAATCCTGCACCACTTGGAAACCATGGGAAACCATTGTTTGTTGGTATTTACAGGGGAATCATCCGAAACCAGGGTCTCTGAGGTGGTGCGAAATGGATTTCGCAACCATCCACAGTATGGAGTCCAAGCCAACCGCAAAATGGTTGTGGGTCAAAAATAGGTACCCAAAATGGCACCCTGGTAAATGGAAACAATCCCTACAACCTGTGGTCCCCTGGTGGTTTCATTTTGACCCATACCCAAATGTGCTGTTTAACACCAAAGTGCCACCGGGGGGTTCTCCACCCCACTCGCCGAGGTGCGATGGCGAAGACGCGCTCCGGGCCGGTGACGGGACCCACGTTGTTGGTGGCCGGCATGAACTGCGTCAGAGACCTGCGAAAACGTCGAGAGGAGCTGGAGCAAATGAAAAAGGCGAGGCAACTGAGAAAAACTTTAGAAAGGGGACTGATCTCTTTAAGCGGTCTCTTCCTGTCTTTGAGTGGATCTCTCTCGGGCTTCGGAGTCGGATGAGTACAGCGGATACTGTTGGCTTCCTTGTGGCACATTTTATATGTGGGGGTTGATCAAAAGGTCCGTTACATGGGATGCCCATTGCCATGGGCATTTGGGGGCCAAACGGAATATTGATCAACCCCCATGTGCCAAAAGGCGGTCCCAAGTGTTGGACACTGGATTCACTTACATATTTTTCTCTTATTCACAGGCTGCGTTCGCCATTCTCTTCAGGGATGTTTCAGCAAATGGCCGAACCTCCGGGCAAAGAGGTGGGTGTGTGTTGGGGGTGCCCGTATTGGGTTTGGTTGAAAGGGAAACCAGGAAACCAAAAGGAAAATCACTGTTTTCGGGGTCCAAATCTAAAGACTTTTGACACACCCAGGTGGTTTCTGCCAGAAACAGTCAAACATGTCCCCAGCACACTCACTTCCTGAGTGGATTCGTCCAAAAAGAAGTCCATACTGTTTCTTTACCACTAAAATGGTCTTCCCAAATAGTTAAAAGTCCAGGAACTCGGGCAGTGAGTTCTTGTTTTGAATCATGGAAAGGGGCTCCCCAATTTCTGACACCCACAAAACTGAAAAGGGGAGAGCATTCCAAAACAGAGGACATTTTTTGGAAACACCCGTGTGAGCGGCCCAAGACCCATTGTGGTCCTACTGTCAGGGTCATGACAGGCCTTTGTGAGAGTTTGCAACTGGGTCCGAGGTGCCAGTGTAGGGCGGTCAAATACTGGTCCCAGAAGTCGTCGAGGTTCCCGTTCTGGAGCTCCTTAGCCCGGCAAAGAAGTCAGAGACAGGAGCGTAAGTTCAACGTTTGAAGGGGCGCCGCAAAAAAACTCCTCCAGCAAACACATGAATTGAGCTCTGCCTTGAAAAGTGGCCCGGCGTCCTTGGCACCCCTGATTCATCCAGGAAACACATGGATTGAGCTCTGCCTGGAAAGTGTCCCGGATGGAACTCGCTGTTTCTTCGACCTCTTTTGTGGCCCATGAACCAAAAAGAAAAGAGATCAAGACAGGTTTGGGGCTGGAAAGAACGCCGCGCTTCTCACATTCTTTTCGGCCAAGACCGCACTCTTCATCGGGCCTTTGGGCCTTTGGGGAGGGGCTGGCCGTTAAAAAAGGCAACTGGCCCCATGGCTGAACACACAAAGTGACACACCGGGAGTCCCATCCCAACTAGACTCATGCTCAATTGGTGTGATGGCGAGTGTCCCGAGAGGAACAAAATATACTCCCTTCTGACATGTGAGGCTCCCCATTGTATGCAGCAACAAACGTTGAACTGTCAAATATATAAAACTGCCATAAAGTTCATACACCCCACTGCAAGCCTGGACAGGTTGCAACCGAACCATGAAAATGACATTTCCACCGCACCTCCTGCAAAGAACTGCCCCATTTGCCTTCGGGCAACCCGCCCTAGCCCACCTCCCAATGGGGATCCCAAGATCCCAACTTTGCGGAGCCCGAGCTTTCAGGTGGGCTTCCCTTCAAAAAACATACCCCCCCGCAATTGAAACCGCGGTATTGTTCACCCCTTCGAGTTCCGGAAAATGGGTCTCCCAAGAAAACGTGGGGTACTCCAAGAATAAGACTTGATGACTCTGTTCCATGTTTTTTACCCATGTCATAGTAATGGCATGGAGACCCCAATAAGCCGGTGTCTCTTTTTTCGGGAACCCCGAAAAATCCCCAAAATGGAGATGTCCCTTCGAGTTTGCCTTTAGAAACAACCAAAGGTACCCTCAAAAAAAGAAGAAAAAACAAAACAGGCCACTTCGCGCAACGACTTCCGCACCCCCTAAGTTCCTCCCCCACCCACCGCTTGGATCTCGAGCTGAGGCGCGTAGATCTTGATCCAGTTGGGCACATCTGAGGCCTGGTTCTGCAAGCCGATGGCCAAGAACGCGATGGCCAGGTAATGGTTCACCGCCAAGATCAGCATCCTAAGACTCTCGTGACTTGCGCGGGGACCTCGTCTTGTTGAAGGGAAACCAAAACCAAAACCGAAGCCATTTGGGGTGTCCAACCCTTAAGACACACCCAAATGGTCCAAACCGTTGGCCCTTGGGTTCTTTGAAGCCTCCCAACTTTGAACTTCTTTGACTCCCGCTTCCTCGCAAGTCCGGCATCATGCTGCAAGTGGAACCAGGCTGTGGTTGGATCTGGTGGGTTCACTTGCTGTGTCAAGCCGCCTGCGCAGCATTCTCGTTGCAGGACTCTCAAAGGTGTTCTTCCTCTCAGGCCAATGCCCCAGTGAGTGCTGAAGGGACCAACCCATTCAGTCGAGATGGGAACACTCCAATTGCAACGAATCTTGCTCCAAAAACGGAGGGGTGCAACCCATATGGGATCCGCATGGTTCTTCGGAACCCAGCACACGGCGGCCAGGTCCGGGGTCACAAGCACTTGCCCCGCCGATTCTCCAGGTGTTCCTTGCTTCCTGCACAACTGACAACTGGACTCCGAACTCCGAACAGGAGGGATTAGAATGTCGAGTGGCAGGCTTCCTTGTAAAAGAGATGCGTGTTTCTTTGATTTGTAATTTGGCATGATTGGAGCAGGAGGTAACAAGTAAACCAGAACAAATCAAAGACACGTGACCAAGGCCCGCTTCACGTCTGCGAAGAATACTTTGCAGATTCGGGAGGACACCCCACAAGCCTCGAGGAATCTCCCGTGAACTTGGGCACCGGATACTTGGGGCAGGTGCCCCCAAACCCCGAACGAGCCGAATTCTGGGCCTATCTACCAACCATAGAGCGGATGCACGAAATCCGTTCGCACCTAAGAAACCATGGGAAACCACAGTTTGTTGGTATTTACAGGGGAATCCTCACTCCAGGGTTTCTTAGGTGGCGCGAAGTGGATTTCGTCCATCCACAGTGGCGTCCAGCTGCTGGAGAAGAAACAAAGACAAAAGGCACGCCACGGTCTTGGCGCGGCACAAGCCGTTCATGATCTTCATGAGGAGCCATAGGAGCCTCAGCAACAACACCCGCGCGCAAAATTTCTCAGCAGGGAAGGAGAAATGGAATCACCCCGAGAAAAACCGTCCCTTGTGGTTTCCTTTAATGGAATCCCAAATAGTTCATTCCCAACACTCGGAAGGTCGTTCCCTACTGAGCACCAGCAAGATGGGATGGGTTCCCAGAAAATCCCGGAATCTTGGAATCGCAAGAGCCCGAGTCTGCACGCGATCAGCCCCGGCCGACATATCAGCTGCGGTGTGTCCTAATCCCCTCACTTCCTGAGTGGATGGCCCCAAAAAAGTCCAACCCTCAACCGTATAAACTTAATAAATATCAAACCCCTCCTATAAACCCTATAAACCCTATAAACCGTTTAAGCCTTATAAACCAAATAAACCTTATGAATCCTGTAAACCCTAAACTCTACAAACCTTTTAAAGCCTGTAAACCTGAAAGCCCTGTAAACCCATCTAGTAGCGCAGGGCGTGAGTCCACAAGCTCCCATCTTTGGCTTTGTGTTGCTCATTCCCACCACAGGGAGCATGCAAGCAAGCAGGTCCCGCTGATTGGACAATATCCATTGCAAGAAGGTCATGCGCTTCGCTTCGCAGCTGAAAACTGGGGCCTTGCCAAACCGCAAGGTCGCTCACTTGCGCCCGGTAAAAGACGGGGCATCCGCTGCCGGATTCCCAAAAAGACATGGAAACACATACTTGGAGTGAACCTTACCCCTAACTTGCCTCAGGTAATGCTTGACGCGTCCAAAAGCAAAGGGTGCCCCGTGCATCAAGCCCACGTCTGCAAAAAGCAGCGACCATCTGCTTATCGAATTAACTGAAACCCAAATCGTGCGCTCCACTTGTGAACCCCGGTATGGCAGTCTTGCTCTCCCAACTTGAACCGAACAGATCCATAAGAACAAATGAGCTGCATCAGTTGGGTGTGTCGGTTTTTGGGGGTCAGGGACACCAGAAGGAAACCACCCATTTTGAACTTGTTTCCGGCTTTGACACACTTACCCATTTGCTCTTGCGCCCTCTCAAAATCCAAAGCTGGCTGTGAACCACAAGGCCAACTCAGCGCCTGCGGCCGGCCTGACGCCCGCCACGAAAAATCGACAGCAACCCCGGCCGACGGCCGACAGCCCTCTCTCCGGGCGATGTTCCCCAAAAAGCCCACTCCAAAAGCACGTTCACATGGTGTGAGCCCATCTCTCACAGAAAAGTTGTTGAGAATCATGCATCCATGAATGAAACTCCAAACACAAAGGAGGTGAGAAACAGGAATGGGCAATGGGTTTGCCTGTCTTCTTGGTGTTCCGCGCCGGGGCACGGCGACTTGATCCGGCGGTACATGATCTCCACTGCGGTGGCGATCTGCACCGAGTCACCGAACATTTATTCGCTCTGAGATGGGATCTTGCGAGGAGCCATACTTCTAGGGTCCAACCATCGTTCTTTTCAAAAACCGAATCCGTTCGCCCTGGGTTTCAGAGGTTTTCTAGAAAGAAGGATTCCTGGAAAGAATGGGGAAGGTAGCCCTAGAGTACTGTGGGTGGACGAAATCTAGTTCGCGCAACCTAAGAACGCCATGGCTAAAACCCTTGTGTGTTGGTATTTACAGGGGAATCATCATTCAGGGTTTCTTAGGTGGTGCAGGGTTTCGTCCACCCACCGTGGAAAGCAATGAAAAACGCCGCCAAGATCATGAATCTTAACAGGAAACCTCAAAAAGTGGTTGGTGAACATCACGTCCAACCAAAATGATGTCCACCAAAGCACGCCAAAATTAAATGCATGCCATATGAGCCTTGTTTTTGGAGTATATACTGCCACTTCTGACTCCATACCCCTGGGCGTCCCATTCAGTAGTAGTAAACCCGCACCAAAAGGGCGTGCTCCTCCCCCCATCAAAATCAAAGGGGGGTGAGTAATCCGGGGTTCACATTAGATGAGATGTGACAAAAGGATCCACAGGAGGGAACAAACCTTGGAACAGTCCAACTCGAGTCAGGTCAATGTACTTCCAAATCCCACTGCAACTCCACCGTTTCTTGTGGGAAGGTGGCGGGCAAAAACACCACTGTCAATTCCTTGAAAAAGTGCAAGCACGCCACCACCAAAAGCATGGCAATGGAAGCCGATGAGCTTTCTTCCGCTCACTTCTGCCCGCCTTGGACAAACGCAGCAGCCGGATGAAGCGCAAGAATCTCAGGACCCGCAGCAGCCGCACATAACCTCGGCGCGCGGCGACGAGCTTCGCGGAAATGACTTTGAAGTCCTATCCAAAATGGCTCGGAGGAAGCCATGGGTAGAAATTTGGGGCTCTGAAAGCAAACCCCCCAAAACTCTTACCCTTCCTCCCACGGTTCCTTGCCCATTAAAAGAATGGCTGACCCAATTTGGATGATGAACATCTTTAGGCGAATCATGTTGGTTATATTAACCCCCCTTGCTTTAAAGGTTGTTTGAACCCCAGACAGGGCTTCCCAGCCAACGTGTCGATTCAAATCGGTGGCAATGTGAGGGGTTCTGAGGCCCCAGCCAACCGTCAGATCGAGGGGGAATAAAAACTTCTCAAACGTCCCAAACATCGGGCTGCTGTTTAAAGTTAAAACGAAAGGAAACGCCAGAAGCAGTTCGGGGTGTCTTATTTTTAGGGGACCCCTCAAAACGGGTGGTTAATTTTTGGCTTCCCTGGGTACTGTACCAACTCAACAAAAAATAAAACGACCCATTTCTGCATGGCAAGCACCCTTTGGACTGGTCTCATGGATTCAATCCCCAACGATTCTCTAAGTTTGACTTTTGTTTCCGGTTACAATGCCTGAAAAACTCTCTAGAGCTCCGCCCTGGTTTCCTGTTGAAAGCAACCAAAAAATAAGGAACCCTGAACAAATACATATCCCGGATCCGTACGTATGCCATGGTGAGACTCCCGAAGTGTGGCCCATGCTGCCATGGCACTAGGAGCAACCCTGGCAGCGTTGATGTTCCTTCTTCCCGGCACATATCAAGGTTGCTCCCAGAGCAAGGGACATACACAACATATCCCTAAGTGTCGCAACTAAACCCTCCAAAAGCCCGGGAATTCTTCCACACCTTGCTTTTTGCAGTTTGAAGAAGCTCCAGGCAGAGGAAAACACAAAAACCGAACACTTTTCTGCCTATGACCCGCATATCTGCGGCAAATACCTTTGGCACCATGGTTCCCGGCAAAATAAAAGAGGCGAGAGGGACAAATCCAGTCCCGAACGCCCCGAAGGGGCAACCACTCGGAAAGTTCAAAAGAAAGCTTCAGGTTCGAACTGAATTTCTGGTGGGCGGCAACCCTAACATCTGTCCTTAAAAATGGTCTGGTAAACCTGAGCTTTTGGGTTGGTGGAAACTACAACTAAACCCTAAAACACTCAAACCCTGGAGCCCAAAAACTCCAAACCAACTAAAAACCAAAGACAAAAACGGGCTGGTCTTCACAAAGAAACCTTTGGTAACAAGCGAGGTGGCGTTAACCGTTAGCAATCCCCGAAGCACATAGGAACATTGCTCATAATCAGGCACAATGGCAACGAAAGGTATGTAGCCTTCGTCATCCACTAAGCCAGCAAGGGAAACCTGATACCAAAGGGCGACTGATCTGGGAATTCCAGCTGCCCGGCAAACTTTCACTTGCGGTGTAGTGGAAACTACAACTAAACCAACTTTTCGTGGGTGCAAGGCGAAGGTTGGATTTGGTGGAAGAAAGGGACGAGCACATAGGACTAGAAGGACTTGAACCTTCAACCTTCCGCCTCGTCGTCGGTAGTCCGGGACTACCGACTACGAGGCGGACGCGCTACCATTGCGCCATAGCCCCTGCTGATCTTGAGTCGGGCCAAGCGGCTGAGGGAGTCATTGCTGTTGGCCGCCATGATCTCAGTCACCTCACGCCACCAGCACTCGGGTACCCATTTGCCCCAACTTTGGGTGGACTAGCACGTGTTGACCGTCAACTCGTCGGGGCCAGCCTTGAGGCCGACGTCTACCATGACCTAGGCGAGTGCCCTGGACATCATGGGATGTAAAGTTTGGGTATTGGCCGCGGTGCCATGTTTCAGGTCTGTCTCAATATTGGGGGACTTTCGGGTTGCTTTGACGATTCTTTGTTCAGGCTGTCCGAGAAACAAGTATGCTATGGCATACCATCCACAGACGAAAGTGCTTGTTCCTCCGCGGCCGAATGATCGAATCTGCCGATGCAAACGGGTTCTGGGGGACCGGGCGATGAGGAAGTCGGCGATGAACCACGTCTTCCTGATTTTTGGGTCCATTAAAGTGGTTGCATGTTGAGTGGCTCTCAAAGTCACTTCCGGAACCCTTTCGTTTCTCTTTGAACCGTTTGGAAGGCAATGTTGTAGATTTTTGGCGAGCCCAGTACGTAGATCCAAAAAATCAAAGGCGACCCCTGTCGGCCCCAGCCAAAGTGGCCCAAACTGGTTGAAACTATTTGGAAAGCAAAAACGAAGATAACAAAGAAGCTGAACCAGAAGAAACCCAACAGGAAGACAGTAATAAAATCCCCAGGAAGAAAACCAAAAGGAAGAAAACCCAGTGGAAACCAACAAAGAAGCAAGAAAATCCACAAGGACACCGAAAGGCCAAAACAAAGCAAAAAGATTCCAGAAAGAACCCAAAAGAAAGGAAAGGAAGCCACAAGCAAACCGGAAGGAAAATCGACAGCAAGCCCCAAAGAGCCTTTTGCATTTGCTTAAGTCACCTGGAACTGAGGGAGGTTCAACTCAAAGGAGAGGGAAACACAGTTTTGTCAACAACGGGGGAACCCGGGACCTTAAAAGGAACGAACCCCTCCGTGACTGCGGCCTCTCCCTTAACCTTGGGGCTAGCGCGGTGCAACGCGCTGTTTTCAGCACTTGAGCCAAAGCAGTGATTGAATCATGCTCTGGCAATGACTTGAATGTACAACATGCAACTGACTACATGGGGACCTACCTCATGTACCTCTGGGCCATAAATGTCATCGTGATAATTGACTCCCCCCTCATTGACGGCACTGAGGGAGTGTCTTGGGCGCATTACCACGCCAACTTGAAGTCAAGTTTACATCACAACGACTGACACAAGTTATTCAAGCATCACCCAGGCACTTTGCACACTTTTGGAAATTTTTGCGGACATGCTGCAGCGCACTAGGCAGCTGCTTTAGCGGCTCTACTTTCACGAACGTCTTCAAGCTTCTCTGGAAGGTCAACACGAATGCCGAGCAACCGGATGGCATGGTCCCACTTGTTGGGTGGAAGTGCTTTCGTGAAGATGTCCGCTGACTGCATGTCGGTTTGGACGTATTCTATCGAGATGTGTTCGCTTTCAAGCTGTTCTGCGATGCACGCGAGGTTCACCTTGTGTGTTCGCTGGACACAGCGTAGCTTGGATGAGAAACCTTTCCTTGCTACGAGGATAGTCGCCTGGTTGTCCTCGTGGATCTTGAGATGGAATGGTCGGTCCAAGATAAGCTCCCACAAGCTAAGCGCAGGGAGCGCCTCCTGATAAAGGGAGTATGCGAGAGAAACAATCTCCGCCTCGGTTGTCGATCGGGAGACCGATGTCTGCCTTTTAGACACCCACGCAAGTGGAAAATGCGTGTGCGGACCACTCAAAATCAAGAATCCTCCGGACGTGGATTTTGCGTCCCGTTCTCCAGCGAAATCGGCGTCCACATATAGAGACAGATGCAAATCCTCAGTCGAATCTTGAACTGTGCCTACTAGCGTGTTGTTGACCGTGCTGTTTATGTAACAAACAAGCCTATGTAGCTGCTTATCGCAGTTTCTAGACCATTTTTGAACAAATGATGCAAGGTCGCCAATGGGCTTGACCAGGTCTGGGCGTGCCAAACGGCCGAGCCATAAGGCTTTCATCAACACGCGGCAAGCGGCGAAGCCGAGCTCACCCTCCAAGGCGTCATCTGCAGGATCGAGGGATCCAGCAGGGACAGAATGGAGTGGTGGCATCACGCAACTTTTCACTTTTTAGCTGTGCAACCTCAAGATATAATGCCACCGTTTGACGGGCATAATCCCGCATGTCGAACGCCATGCCCCCTTTCAATCTGCCCATTGCGGCATTAAGATCGGGTTCAGTTGGGTCCTTTGGAGCATCTATCAAAAGGTGGTTCCTGCCTAGCACCCGATATATGTCTTCTGGGGGTTCTATATCAACCAGTCTTGTTAACTTTTCCCAGAAGTCTTTATGAAGGTGGCTGGGGCCGGCCAACGTCAAGTCGTCGACGTATGTCGAGAGAAGTAACCCGGACTCCTTGAACCAGAAGTTTCCAGGAAACTCTGCGACCTCACGCCCTCCAAGTTCACTAATGAACCCTTTGAGGTGTGCCTCCCAGAGTCCGCCAGCGTCAGGATGCCCATAAAGAGCTTTAACGAGCAAAACCACAGGTTTCACGAAACGCTCGCGCCACCACCTTGGCCGGAGCTCAGGCGGGAGTGTGATCCAAGTTTGGTACTTGGACTTCAGCAGTGCTTGCACATAAGCCTTTATAGCGTCCGCTGTTGTGGTGGAATTCCCTGGCAGGGATCCATAAGCGAGACAGTTATTAAGACCTTGTACGCTCGTGGGATTTGCTCCCAACTCTTGGTAGACAGCTGCTGCGCCATGTTCGTCTTTCGCACAGTCTCCGCGATACACAATCCTACCTTTCATCTTCTGAAGGTGTTTCGCGAGTTCGGCGAACTTGACGGATGCTAGCGACATCAACTGCCCGAAATGAACTTTTATACTGGATCGTCGCGCCTCAGCAGCGACTTGATCGTACTCTCGGACTGAATTTAGATCCCAGGCACCGGCTTTCTCCAGGCCTGTGGCTTCAAGTCGAACGGCTTCAAGAGCTTCCGGGGAAGCCAACATTTCGGCACGTGACAAGAGTCTGGTCACCATTGCGGTGATCTCAGGATCCTTCTTCTCTTTGACTTGTCCTAGGGAATGTGCGATGAGATTTTCAACATCAAGAACTTGCTCAAGAATGTTGTGACACTTTTCATCGGACTCAACAGCAACACCTATATCTTCCAAACCAGAGAGAGGGGATATGTGCTTCAACTGCTGTTCACGTTCCCGGTGATCGAGAGGCAATGGCACTTGGACAGGCATCGCAGGCACAACGGGTTGAACTGTCGGATACAGCGCACGGGCAACTGTGAGACACATGCCTTCGGGGTAGAAAGCGGTCTTTGCGGTCTTGTTACCTGCTGCAAGCGAATGCTTATACCCTTTTTCGTGCGGACACTTGAATGCACCTAGTGCGGATGCGAGTGTGCTATTGCTGGTCATGACTTTCCATGGCTTCTTGATGGGATAACCATTGCTGTCCTTCAGACCTAGGGCGCAACCATGGAAGGTCGCTGGGGTGAAGACGTGTGCGTATTCTCTAAAGAATGCAGAAACATCATCCCTAGCCCAGCTGTCGCAATCCCTTGGCCATTCAAACGAAACACTACCCCCCTGATGGAGGACAGTCTCTGCGTGACGTCTGAATCTGGAGAACAACTCTCTCGACTCTCTAACCTTTTGCTTCAGTTTCTTTTTGAACTGGCTTCCTAACTTGGCCTTATTAAGGCGTTGCCATGCTGAACCTGATGTACAGGGAATTGCGGCCCAGAGATTGGGTTTATCACAACCTTCAATCTGCGACTGCAACTGGATTTCTCCTTCATCTGTGCTAAGGTCGATAAACTCTTTAGCCAGCCTAACATGAGGTATGCCAAGACCTTCAAACACGCGACCCATGTTGGACTCTGGTGAACATGCGTATTCGAACATCACAGGCAACTTGTCAATACGTGCCTGTTTCTTGCGGGCACGATGATTTCCAACCTCAAACTGCTTGCGCTGTGGAGCTTCAACCTCTGCGCTGCATGGCATGCCAAAAATTGGCAATGTGTTCGGACGACCGTTCTTTGACGCATCGGTGAGAGGTGTCGGCGGTACGGAGTCTAACATCACGGCTGCACCTGTGGTGATAACACAATCGGACTGAATGGGTTTTAACTTGAACACTGTGAACCCGGTCCATGCATCTCCAAGTGAGCGATTGGGTCGGCTACCAAACCAACCATCATGGATGTTGTCTGCTTTGCCCCCCTGAAACACGGCACGAGTGGTGCGAGCTGCAGTAAATCTTTCTGGGGAAACGGGGCAATCCTCGACCTCTTTTGGGGTAAAGAGATTTTGCCTTGGCATGATATGGTATCGGACCAAACAGTTGGCATTTTCTTTGAACACCCAAAAATCTTCACCTTGCGATGTAGCGGCTGTCGCTGGCGCGGTATCGAAAAATGAGCCACCGGGTCTTGAGGGAGCGGGCTCCCCAGCTTCGGCTGCATCAAATTCATGCGCAACATCTTCTGCACTAACTGCGGGCTTAGGATCCTCTCCATGCTCGGATGCGTGGATTGCTCTAGCTAGCTCCTCATCCCCTTCAGTATGAACAATGGGAATGGGTTCCTTAGATTCAGTTTTGGCAGCGCTTTTTGCAGCTGCTTCAGCTCGATCTGCAGAAACAAGTTCGGAGAACCTCTTCTTGCATTCGGCACTGTGAATCTTGGAATGACCGGTGCATGCACGGCAACCTGGCGTTTCCTTGAACTTGATGATCCTCTCAACAGTTATGTACACGGATTTTGACTTGACAGCGGATGGAGTCGGTGGGGCACCAAAGGGCGCCTCTCGCAGGGGCATAGGTGGGGGATCAGACCCTTCTGTCTTGCCACCATGCAATGCTCTATCTGCTGCTGCTGCAATCGGAAAGCTTGGGGGTCCGTCTTCAACGAACAATTCCGGTTCAGGAACATCGTGAACGGAAATGGAACCATCTTTGCGGAAGGCTTCATAGTCCATGACTTTGACCACGTTACGGTACCGCAACCCCGGATCGACCCTCCAACCCAAAAAGAGCGCAGGCGCCATGTTCGGATCGAGAGTGAGCTTGCCAGGAGTCTTGGTTCTGTACCAAACCAATTGCCCGAAACAGCATCTCTTACCTTGGAACTTTTCCTTGGTGAGGGCTTCCCATTGGGTTTTCCCTGGGCTGAATGGTGCAGGCCTGTCGAACGACATGGAGAGGCATGCAAATGGGTAACTAAACGTATGCAACGAATAGGGCAACCCTGATTGCATGTGGATGCTGCGGCAGCATTCCTTCTCTTCGCGAATGTCGCGCTCCAGAACGGTGTTGTGTGGCCACCTGTTCGGTAAGCTTGTCTCGGGGACGAGACCGACTTCGTGGG